ACCACACACACACCACCACACACCACCACACACACACACACACACACACACACACACACACACACACAGACAGACACACCCAACCACACACACACACACACACACACACTAAGGCCGTCGCGTGGCCAGCACAAAGGTCCAAGTGCCCGTGTTGGGATCATACGACTCGTGTACCGTGCCTGGAGTAGTCTCCAGTCGGTGTAGCAGCTGCTCACGATCCTCGCCCGGACGCTCACGCACCCCACGGACCCTCACGCGAATACGACACCAGTACAAGCCTTGCGGTAGGTGCGGGAAGCCGTCCTCCGCACTTCCGCGCAGCTGCACAAGCAGATTCAACACCTCATACCGGAAATGCATGGGGAACCACACGCATAAGTCTTCGCCAGAATACACGCAAATCTCGGTGGAGGAGATGGCCACACGTGCGTCACGCGGCACAAAGCGATTCGGCCGTGAGAACAAGTCCTCAACATCCAAAGGACTTCCTGCTTCCAGCGCATCGTGGCCGCGCCCGTCCTCCGTCACGGCACTGCCCACTCCCTCAACTGCAATCCCAGCTCCATCATCAGTATCATCAGCATCATCAGCATCATCGCCATGGTGGTTAGCATCGTCATCACCGAGTTCAGTGCCGCCACGAATGCGTGCGGCGCTGTTGTCTCGACGCCAGGAGCTGCTGTCGCCGAATCTCGGAGAGGCGTGTTCTTCCTCGATGCTGTTTGCACTTCTCGTTCCATGCCGTAGTCGCGGCTCGTGCTCTCGGTGCCGTCGAAACACAGGAGCCCCCTCGCTGTTCCAGTTCGGGCCCAGCGCAGACTGATGCTGCTGGCCCGCGGTCGTAGGGACACCAGCTCCTGTCAAAGTGTGGCTCCACGTGAACCCTGACACATGCACCGGGGACGGTACAGGCGTTGGTATGCGCGCTATGGCCGCCGTTTGCCCTCGGGCTGACCGCGGCTGCCGTGGCCGGTGAGCACGCCTCGGCTGACGCCGCCAAAACGAGGATGAGGCATGGGCATGCACCGCATACTCGCTTCGCGCGTCGTCATCTGTTTCGGTCGTTTCTCCGTCGTGGTCGCTTGAAGGCGGTCGAAACAGCACCACATGCCGCCCGTCCAGCAGCTGGTCCTCCTCACGTGCATGGTGTGTGCCGATGTTGGGTGGCATGGGTGGCAGGTCAGGCGAGCGCTCCGCTTGGCCGTGGCGCTCAAGCACCGCCACCACATGGGACGCGCTGGTCTCCGTGCTGATCGTGCTTACACTGCGGTAGCTGTCCGTGTTGCGAATGAAGCTTGACGTGGTCGTCACCATGCTTTCGTAGCTGTCACTTGAGCTGACCGAGGGGGCGAGCGCCGCCACCATCCGCGCACGTCGCTCCGCAATATCAACCGCCCGGAAGCGCGCGCGCAGTTCCGCGTCAAAGCGTGCATGCCGCTCGCTCGCTGTCTCGTTGGCGACCGCGTCGTCCCTTTCTGCTCGCTCATCCACACGAATCGCCTCTTCGTAGGTTGCGAGCATCTCCTCAAGAGTCTGCGGAGGTCCAGGGTTCTCGATGAGGTCAAGGAACGCCCGGCCAATCTCAACGTCGCGTGAAACTGCCCCTTGCTGCTGCTGCTGCTGCTGTTGTTGTTGTTGTTGTTGTTGTTGTTGTTGTTGTTGTTGTTGTTGTTGTTGTTGTTGTTGTTGTTGTTGTTGTTGTTGTTGTTGTTGTTGTTGTTGTTGTTGTTGTTGTTGTTGCTGGTGATGCGGTGGTGATAGTGGCGAAGGCAGATCTCTCCATGCGTAACGGCCATCGCTCTCGCTGTCCGTTTCACCAAACTCGGTGCCAAAGTGGTCGCGGTAGAAGCGGTCGGACCGGCGCGGGGAGTCGTTCAGGAGCGCCGCCTGCGCTGCTTGCGGCTGGGCATGCGGCCTTTCAAAGTGCTGCACCTCGGGAACATGAGGCGTGCCTTGTGGTGATTCATGTCCCGATGGCGAGAGGCTTGTGCGTCGCATGGCGCGGAGGGCGTGATCTACTGCCTGCTGATGCGCGTGCTGCTGCCACTGGTGCAGGTTAACTCCTGGAAACGCGAAATCAGTGTGCATGCGCAAGGTCGAACGCGTCGACTGAGCAGACTGCGGCAAAACCTCCAGTGCCTCTCTACTCTGCTCATGCTGGTCGTGGTGGTCCTGTTGCTGCTGGTGCGGGTGCTGGTGCGGGCGCTGGTGCCGGTGCTGATCGCGGTAGTGCTGCTGCTGCTGCTGCTGTCTCCGCTGTTGTCGCTGCTGCTGCTGGTGCTGCCGGTGACGATCGTGGTCGTCTCGTTCGTTGTTGTTGCGATATGGGGGAGGAGGAGATACGTGGGCGGGAGGCATACCTTGGTATGGCTGCCGTCGTTGCTGCTGTTGGTGCACGTTCTGGCGGTGGCGGTCGTAAGAGGGCGGGTTGGGAGGAAGAATGGCCGCCGACAGGTGGTCGTTATGCCTTTCATCCGCTTCACCCTGGCGCTGCTGGCGCTGCTGCCGCGGCCGTTCCTGTTGATCGAGGGCACGCGCTAACACCTCCAGCAGCCGGTCCATGTCGTTTTGCAGCCGCTGCAATTGCTGTTGCTGCAATTGCTGTTGCTGCACGAATTCGTGCGGCGGAAGCGTCTCCACTGCAGCTTCCGGCGCTCCAGTCCCTTCATGGGCGGGGGCAGCATTTACGCGCCTCGCCGCCAACTCATCAAGCACGCTCGCCAGCACCTGTTCCACCGTCATGGCATCACCGCCCCACATCATGCCATCAGGCACCAGCTGTCTCTCAACCAAGGTCTGGCTCAGCTCAGCCAGCTGCAGCGAGTCCATGCCAAGGTCCTCGACAAGCCTCTCGTCCACAGATCTGGGGCGCGCGCCACCACAATACTCAATGGCATCTGCAACAGCTTCAAATGCTGCCTCAAATGATGGCGCGTCATGATGTGTGGCGCTCAATTCAACGGTGCCACCTCCCCCAAGTGACTGTTCCCCTTGTCGCTGCTGCTGGTGCTGCTGGTGCTGCTGGTGCTGGTGCTGCTGGTGCTGCTGGTGCTGCTGATGCAGTCGCTGTGGCTGCTGCTGTCTCTCGGGCAGTGGAAAGCGTCCCCTGGTCATCCACAATCGCTCGTCAAAAGGCTGCGCACCAATTCCATGGTAGGTGCCAGTAATGCGGAAACCGGCAGCCCCAAGCAGCGCATGTGCATTTGTGCCGCCAAATCCAAACGAGCTCACCCCAGCGACCCGCCCAGCATCATGTGGCAGCTCCACAATCGCCTCACGAGGCACACGCATCCATTGCCCAAGCAGCTCACGCGCTGCAGGGTTCACCGTCGCGTAATGTAAGTTGGGCGGCAGCCGCTGCGTGGCAACCACCAGCACCGCCTTGATCACGCCGGCGATGCCCGCGGCAGCCTCAAGGTGGCCAATGTTCGTCTTCACCGCGCCCAGGTAGAGGGGTGCCGTTCGCTCGTGCTCACAGTACACGCGACGAAGCCCTGACATCTCAATGGGGTCCCCAAGCGGCGTTCCAGTGCCGTGCGTCTCCACATAGCCCACGTCGCTTGCATGCACGCCTGCACTCTCCAAGCACGCGCGGTACACGTCCTCTTGCGCTTGCGGGTTTGGCGCAGTCAGTGTTGAGCTGCGGCCGTCCTGGTTCACCGCTGTTCCCAGCACTCGGCACAGGCACGGGTCATGTGGCGAGTTGAGCCTACGCAGGATGACAACACCGCACCCTTCAGACCGCACGTAGCCGTCTGCGTGCGCGTCAAACGTTTGACACGCGCCCCTGCGGCTGAGCATCCCCGCGCGGTGCGTGGCCTGGAACCCTTCGAGCGTCAGCAGCAGGTTCACCCCCGCCACAATCGCGGCCTCGCACTCCCCGGCCAGCAGACTTTGACGAGCAAGATGCAGCGCAGTCAGCGAGGAGGAGCACGCCGTGTCAACAACCATGGATGGCCCGCGGAGCCCAAACGCATAGCTCACGCGGTTCGCCACAATGGACAGCGAGTGGCCCGTGGCTGAGGAAGCGCTCGGATCCACGCCTCCATCGTGCGACACCTGCGACCACCCGTCATGCGTCGCCCCAACGAACACCCCAATGCGCTTGCCCCGCACGGCATCGGGCTCCATGCCGCTGTTGTACAGCGCTTCGCGGGTCACCTCCAACAGGATGCGCTGCTGGGGATCCATGCACGACGCCTCGCGGTCGGAAATGCCAAACCAAGCCGCATCAAAGGCTGAAACATCATGGAGCAAGCCTGCCCTGGGCACGTCTGCAAGTCCTGCATCCTCCACGTCTTGTTGGCTGAAGCGCCCGCCCGCCAGCGAGCCCACGCAGTCCCGCTGCGCCTCCAAGGAGCACCAGTAGTCGTCTGGCGAAGTGATGCCTCCTGGAAACCGGCAGGCCATGCCGACAATGCCAAGCAGCGGCCGCTTGGGCTCGTCCGCACTGGCGTCACCATCGCGCGCTTCATCAGGTTGACCATCGTCGTCATTGGGCTGCCGCCAACCGTCGTCGTTGCGGCGGTGGTCCCGGCCGAGCTCATCTTCATCATCACCGCTACCACCACTACCACCGCCATCACCATCACCGCCGGCAGTACGGGCAAATGTTCTTGTTGAGCCAGGCTCACCACGGCCCTCCTTTCCTCCAGCGCGTTCATGGCCTCCCGGCTTCTGCGCTTCGCCGCCGTCCACGGCAGGGCCTGGCGGTGTACCCACCTTGGGTTTGATTGGTGCGGAGGCACGCGCGCTATCGGGCACTGCCACGGAGAAAGCACCCCGGCGGGCGGGCTCCGGGGTCACCTCGCGCCACTCTTCACCACGCCCGCCTTTGCAGGCATCCGTCTCTGCTGCTTGTGACTGCTCCAACATGCGCGAGACCAGGTTCGAATCAAACAGCGCAGTCGTCAGCCATTCGCCAAGGTCCTGGACGGTCGGGTGCCTGAAGAACACCTCAACAGAGACGTCAGGAATGCCAATCTCTTGGAGGGACCGCTGCATCTCCACGATGGCCAACGAATCCACGCCAGCTTCCATCAGCCCTTCATGTGGCTCCAGCTTCAGCCCCGCAGTGTCTTCTACAAGCTCCTGCATCGTTTTCACCATCTCTGACAGCTGACGTTCCCGACTCTGCGTGACCAGCTTATCCAACCAGTTCGGGTCATTCGCCCAGGAGTCAGACCTGCTCACGCCTGACGCGCTCCCGCCCATGCTGGACGATGAAGACGACGGACTGCACTTGGCGCTGTTTGTGTGGCTGATCCCGCGGGATGAGCCGTCACTGGCGACCGCACTGTCGGAAGCCGCCTCATCTGCCCTCGCCTGACCACGGCACAGTGAGCGAAGGATTGAGGGCGGGCCGTTGCCGCCCCCACGTCCAAGCCGCCGCGCCACCAGATCCCAGTTTGCCCGCATCACACACGCGTGCCAGTTCTCCAGGCTCGGTTGCAACAGGGCCTCGTGCCACCACAGGCCAAAGTACGATGGAAAGCCTTCATCGCGGTTGGCTTCAACAAATGCCCGCTGCTCTGCCGTCGCGTCCTGAAGCGCTGCCTGATACATGCCCGCATCCGTCCACAGGCCCCAGTACGTGCACACCGCTGGCAGGTTGACCGCCTGGCGGAAGGCCGCCATGTCTGCCAGAAGTTCGTTTGCACACGCGTACCAGATGGCTCGGCCAAGCCCATGCACGGCACTCACCGAGCTGTACACCTTGAACAAGCGACACGGCGTCAGGAGACTTGCGTAGTGAAGGTTCCAGGTGCCGGTTGTCTTGGGAGCAAGCACACGCTGCAGCTCGGCATCTGTGAGGGACGACGGGTCGAGCGTGTTGGACATGATGCCCGCGGCATGAAACACGCCGTGCACCTCCATCCCCATGTCCCCAAGCGCCTGCACAAGTGCCAGCACGTTCGCCAGATTGCACACGTCGCAGCGGGCAGCAAAGGCGCGACCCGCATATGGTGCCCTTGTCAGGGCATCAATGGCTGGCCAGTTCTCCGCAGAGACGCTTCCCGAGCGAGACAGCAACACAACGCGGGCATCGGGGTGCGTGTCCAGCACCCATTTTGCCACGCACAGGCCAAGCCCACCAAGCCCACCAGACACAATAAACGCCGGTTCAGGCGTGTCACGCCAGGGAAGCAGCGCGCGGGTGGGCGCGGGTGGTTCAAACGGGACTAGCCGCATCACATGCGGCTCATCTCCAAACATCACCAGCGTGTCCTCCCCGAGGGCATCCGCCATGTCCAGTGCGGCTGGAAGGTGCTTGTATGAGTGCGTTAGCGATGACAGCACAAGCACGCGAATGTCTGTCTGCACGCGCTGGCGCAGGGACAGCACGAGAGACCGCAGGCCGCCGTTGAAACAGCCGTCCGCAATAGTGCCGCAGTCACTTGCGCTGAGGCCAGAGAGCGGCTCCTGCAGCTCCACCGCAACCCAGATTGGTCGGGCACACTCCTGGTTCAGGACAGCATTGAGCACCCTTAGCAGGGGCGACTCCGCTGTCGTAAAGTCAAGGACTGGTCCGCAAAGTCCGGACAGCACCAAAAGCGGGGTGGACGGCGACAAGGGCATCTCATCAACAACCGTCACGGCGGCACTCGAGTCTGCAAACAGCCTTGAGCAGACATCGCCACGCGAGTGCTGAACGCCAAACCGGTCCATAACATACGCCGGTGAGACCACACAGAGAGGGCTGGCAGAAGCAGACTGCAGCCCGGCCACGTCAAGAAGAGGCTCGCACTCAACGACAAACCCAGTGCCGCGAAGCACATTCTCGAAAGTTGCACTTCCGGCAAACACCTGCCGGTTCCACGTGTGTACACCGTGAGACCGCGTTCGCCGTGCCGCAAGTGAGGGGCTGCTTGTGATGACAACGTGCGCGTTTGCACCGCCAAAGCCAAAGGAGCTCACGCCCGCATACAGCTCATCGCCCCGCCCAAGCTCATGCCCGCGCCCCTGCGGAAGCACATGCGGAAACCCATCAAGCGGAAGCTTCGGGTTCAGCGTCTGCAGGTGCAGGTTGCCCGGCACAACACCGTGCTGCAGGCACAGCACAGCCTTGATCAAGCCCGCAACACCAGCTGCGCCCTCCGTGTGCCCAATCTGCGTCTTCAGAGCACCAAGGCACAGCGGCCTGTCTGCACTCCGCCCGGCACCCAGCACAGCCTTGAGCGCTCCAATCTCAATGGGGTCGCCCAGCGCCGTGCCGGTCCCGTGCGTCTCCACATAGTCAATCTCGTGGCCCTCGAGGCCAGCGCGCTCCAGCGCCTTGCGAATCACCTCCTGCTGTGCAGGCCCGTTTGGCGCTGTCAGGCTGGCGCTGCGCCCGTCCTGGTTTGTCGCACTCCCGCGCACAACGGCGTGGACGCGGTCGCCGTCACACGATGACAGCGCCTGCAGCACGACGGCACCACACCCCTCGCCGCGCACGTATCCGTTGGCGGATGCGTCGAACGTCTTGCACCGGCAGTCAGGTGACAGCATCCCAGCCTGGCAATCTGCGATGAAGTAGTCCTCATTGAACAAGAAGTTGACACCTGCGGCGACAGCAATGTCGCAGTCACCGCAGGCAAGTGCCTGCTTGGCCAGGTGCACTGTGACTAATGACGACGAGCAAGCCGTGTCAACTGTCATGCTGGGTCCGGTGAGATTCAGGGCATACGAGATGCGGTTTGCGTGCACTGCTCGTTCTACTGACGTTGCAAACATGGCGTTGCGGCGGCGATTGGGTCGTGAAAACCAGTCAACGGCCATCAAGCCCACATACACACCGACACGTTTCCCGCGCACGCTCTCCTTTGTGAAGCCAGCGTCCACAAGCGCCTCATACACAACCTCAAGCAGCACGCGCTGCTGCGGGTCCATCTGCCTTGCTTCTGCCAGCGAGATATCAAAGAAGCGTGCATCAAACATGTCAAATCCTTCTGTGAACGCGCTTTGGCGAACATAGAGTGCCTCCTCGTCACCGCGAGCTCTTGAGAAATGCTTTGCAAGGTCGATGCGGTCTTGAGGAATATCGCCCACGCAATCGGTCCCTGATATGAGCGTCTGCCAGAATTCGTGAGGATTGTTGCTTCCACCGGGGAACCGGCACGCCATGCCAGTGATGGCAACAGGACCCGACTCTTCCACAGACCCGCTGTGTTGTTGTTGCAGTGTCACGGGAACGTCGAGGTCGGTTTGTAGCTGGTTTTGGAGCTCGTTCAACAGAAAGCGTGTGACTTGGCGTAATGTGGGGTAGTCGAAGAGGAGTGTGCTTGGGACGGACACGCCAGCAGAGTCAAATAAGCCCTTAATGAAGACAACGCTCTCCTGGGAGGCAAGAGAGTCCACGCCAGCCTCTTGAATTGGAGTGTCGTACTCCAGGTCAACTCCAAGAGACGACACAAAATAGTCCTGAAGGCGTTCAGCCAAGAAATCGAACCGAGCAGAAGACTCAAGGGCTGCAAGATCCGCGGCGAACCCTGTAAACGTAGAACGATGCCTGGAACGCGTGGCTTTGGAAGAGGATGGTAGCAGCGAAGAAACGAACGCGGAGGCGCGGCCTTGGCCCAACGTCAATGCGTAATGCTCCCAGCGCATTGGGGAGCAGCAGAGGACACTGCCTGAGTCAAGCAGCAGCGCCGTCTCCAGGCACTCAAGCCCTTCCTGCACCCGCAGCAAGCCAAACCCTTGCTCCTCAAGCACAGCATCAGCCCCGCTCACAGCAGCCATCCCAACATCAGCCCACGCGCCCCACTGCACGCTCCTCGCACACAACCCAACCCTGCCATAAAACTCAACAAGCCCATCAACAGTCCCATTCGCAAGCGCGTAGTTGCTCTGTCCGCGGTTCCCAAGGTACCCCGTCACAGAGGAGAACACAACAACGTCCCGCACGCGCACACGCCCGAGCGTGCTCCACACGCTGCCAACAAGCCCGTCAACCTTGGGTCGCACCACCTCCTCAAACGAGGCCACGCTCTGGTTGCGCAGCAGCCCGTCACGCAGCACACCGGCCGCGTGCACCAGGCACAGCTCGTCCATGCCGCGCTTCCCCATCTCACGCTCAACCTCAGCATACACAGCGCACACCTCAGCAGCATCGCCAACATCGCACCGCAGCACGCACAGCTTGTCCCCGTGCTCCGCACACAGCCGCTGCCATCGCTTCGAGCTCCGGCCATCAACGCACCCGCTGCGGCTCAGCAGACACACCAGGCCCGCCCCACGCGACGCGGCCCACTCCGCAACAACCAGCCCAAGGCCACCAAGGCCTCCGCTGATCACAACGCAGCCCCGAGGGTCTCCGCGCAGTGCATGTGCACGTACATGTGCGTGTGCACCAGTGTCCACATCGCGCTTGCCTCCTTCACCACTGCCCTCATCATCACCGATGGCAGCGGATGCATCAGGAGCAGCAGCCACAGTTGGCTGCCTGGGCCTGGCGCCATCCTGCAGCATGCGCTGCTTCAGATCGCACCGCTGTCCCCGGCGCACCCACACATCACCTTCTTCGCCAATCACAACCTCGTCCTCGCCGCGCAGCACCTTGCTGAACACTGCACGCGCAAGCGCACGCTGCTGCTTCCCGTCTCTGTCAGCACCGCGCAGCACCACACTCGTGCCAAGCACATGGCCTTCCTCAAGCCGAAGCGTCCGCAGCAGTGCTCCCACATCGCCAACGCCGTCAGGCAGCACAAGCCCTCGCGTGCCCTGTACAACACCGCCACCGGCGGGTTCACTGTTGCTGCGACTCACAACAGCAACGCGTACATTGCCGGCGCCGGCGTGTCCACCGCTGCTGGCAACACACCACAGCGTCTCAACGAACGCCGCCATCTGCGTCCGTCGGTCAGCCACAGCGTCACACGCGCCATCAAACACAACCACGCACTCTCTGTCAGTGCCGTCGCGCGTCGCGGCCGTCGCTTCCCTTGCTGCTGCTGCTGCCGCCGCTGCTGATGGTGATGGTGGTGGTGATGGTGGTGGTGGTGATGGTGGTGATGATAGTGTGTTGCGATCTCCATCATCGCCAGCATCGTCGACACCACCAGCAGCGTCAGAAGCGCTTGCTGCAGTGCGCCTGGCTGTGGTAGTGTGGGTGCCAGCCAACCATGCACTCACAGCTGCACGCATGGTCGATTGGTCCCCGTGCCATGTCTGCCCAGCAACCACACCATCAGCTTCAGCACCTTCGCTTTCACCCGCATACTCTTCATCGCTGCAGCAGAAGCAGTCGCAGTTGTTCACGTGCCACTGCACTTCATCGATGTTCGGGGTGTGGCCTTGCTGCAGCACAGCCCCATCGTCAGCACCGCCACCACTGCTGCGGCTCATTGCACCTCGCAGCACATGTCCGACGTGTCCAGTGCCAGCATGCGCGCTTGCATCTGTCAGGGCACATGCTGCTGGCCGCACAACAAGCACACGGGCGGTTGCATTGTGGCGCGAGTCGTCATCGTCAGCAGATCCAGTGAAGACAGCAGCACCAGCGTCAACACCAATAGCGTCACTATCGGCGTCAGCAACACGCTCCCACACGCTGTCGTACACAAGCCCTGAAACGGCAGCTTGCAGCTGCGTCCGCCGGTCTGTGGCCGCGCTCCCGGTCACAATGTCCCGCGCCTGCACCAGGCACTGCGCACCACGCTCATCAAACACGCGCATGTCAATGCGCCCATCGCTCTTCCGGTGATGCACAACAAACACCTCGCACTGCCCCTGCTCAAACACGCGGCTGCTCAGCACGTCCACACGTCCAATCGACTGCAGGTAGTGCGTGTACACTTCAACCTCGTCCTGCCCGCGAATGCGCCCAGCGTCGTGGTCCTCGCGCAGCTGCGCCCACACACCATCGTCAAGCAGGATTGCGCCATGCGTGCAGCAATCAAGCATTGCGCACCGGCGCAGGTCAGGCGCGTCCATCTCCCGCTCATCGTACTTGATGCGCGTCACAACGACGTCGCGCCCAAAGTCCAGCCACGCCTCGCGCACGTGCCTGAACGCACCGCCGTACATGTTGCCGATGCGCCCGTACACCTGCTCCTGTGTCAGCCGCATGCCGTACCCGCGCACATCCCCACACGCAACCCGAGCCGTGTCGACGTCCTGCCACAGAGCAGCGTCATCACCTGCGCTGACGTCACTGGTGTCGCTGAACCATGCTGTGTCCAGGCCGTTGCTGGCGCCTGCGCTTGCGGTGGTGCTTGTGATGTCAATGTCGAGGGGGCGTGCGGTGGTGACTGTGGCGTGCACAACCTGGTGTTCACAGGCGAGCGTGGTCAAGCTGGTGCCGAGCCGGCTCAAATCAACCGTGCCGTCAGCACGTTTTGCGTCACTGTGAATTCCTTCCAGCGATACGAATGTTGCTGAGCTGGTGCCCTCATCAACCTCGACCGCAATCGTTGGCGACCGTTTCGTATCAATCCACAACGCCTTGTCGAAGGAGACACCTTCGAGGGTCACGGGGACATCACCGTACACCTGCCTGCAGCACCTGGCGGCGCAGGTCACCATTGCCATTCCCGGCACGAGTGCTTGTGTTGGGTTCAACTTGTGGTCAGCGAGGTAAAGGAGAACAGTGGAGGCATGCCACTGTGCGACCAAACACCGTGATGGCGCTTGTGGCGACGCTGCTACAGGAGCACCAAACAAGGCGTGGGGTTGTTCGAAGGCACGAATCCATTGTCTGCGGCAGAGGTGCTGACTTGCGGCACCCAGCTTTCGAGTGCGGCTGTGTGGTCGCGCAGAAATGATTGTATGGGCATTTGAGCCACCAAAACCAAACGAGCTGACACCCGCAATCAGCACAGACTCATCACCAGACAGGCGGGCACTCAGGGAGAAAGCAGCTGTTGGAATGACGAGCGGGAAGTTCTTCGTGGGGATGTGTGGGTTCAGCGTCTGCAGGTGCAGGTTGCCCGGCACAACACCGTGCTGCAGGCACAGCACAGCCTTGATCAAGCCCGCAACACCAGCTGCGCCCTCCGTGTGCCCAATCTGCGTCTTCAGAGCACCAAGGCACAGCGGCCTGTCTGCACTCCGCCCGGCACCCAGCACAGCCTTGAGCGCCCCAATCTCAATGGGGTCGCCCAGCGCCGTGCCGGTCCCGTGCGTCTCCACATAGTCAATCTCGTGGCCCTCGAGTTGTGCGTCCTGCAGGGCATGCTGCAGGAGCGTTTGCTGAGACACACCGTTTGGCGCTGTCAGGCTGGCGCTGCGCCCGTCCTGGTTGGTTGTTGCTGCGTGAACAGTGGCATAGGCCCTTTCCTGCATGGCATCAATGTTGCGCTGCAGCACGACGGCACCACACCCCTCGCCGCGCACGTATCCGTTGGCGGATGCGTCGAACGTCTTGCACCGGCAGTCGGGCGACAGCATGCCTGCCCTGCAGTAGGCGAGGAACACATCAGGTGTCATGAGCAGATTGGCGCCGGCGACAATGGCTGCTTCGCATCGGCCGTGCTGCAGCCACTGGCACGCAAGAGCCAAGCCAACAAGGGACGCAGAGCAAGCCGTGTCTATGCTCACGCTGGCACCGGAGAGGCCCAGGCAGTAGGACACGCGGTTGGCGAGGATGGCGCGGCTGCCACCGGTCCCGCTGTACACGTTGTCGCTGTTGAAGTTGACCACATGCCAATCCTGGCTCGCGGTGCCCACAAACACGGCCACATTTCGGCCGGCAATGCTGTCGAGTGCAAACCCGGCGTCAACCAGTGCCTCTGCGGCCACCTCAAGTACAAGGCGCTGCTGCGGGTCCATGAAGGTGGCCTCCGTGCGGTTGAGCCCAAACAGGGCGTGGTCGAACAAGTCAAGGTCTTCCAGGAAGGCCGCCTCCTTCACGTACATTTTGTTGGGTGCGGCGCGGTCTGGGTCAAACCAGGCGTCAACATCAAAGCGCTCGCGCGGGATGCGACCAACTGTGTCAACGCCATTCATGAGCAGACGCCAGAACTGGTCGAGCGTGCGCACACCGCCGGGGAAGCGGCAGGCCATGCCCGTGATGCAGATGGCGGGCATTGCACATTTGGAGGTAATGCTGCTCTCCAAGCGGGCAGTGCTCAGTGCACGTGCTGTTGCTTCGGGTGCCATGTTGTCATGGGCCCCGTCGCTGTCGGCGGTGGTTGGTGGCGAAGTTTGTGCAGCTGACGACACGAGCTCTTCAACGTGTGCAGCCAGCAGGGCGGGAGTGTGAAAACTGAACAAGTCTGGCGCAGAGATGGTCACGCCAAACTCGTCAGACACGGTTTCGGCGAGCTGCGGCAGGGCGATGGAGTCCAGCCCGCCGTCCATAAACGCCTCATCCGGGGCGATCGCGACTCCAAGCACAGACTCGATCATGCGAAGCACTGCGTCGAGAACAAGCTCGGAGGAGGCTGGCGCGTGAGCTGCCGCGCCTGCAGACAAGACAGCCGTCTGCGCCTGCTGTTGGTTGGCCTTGAGTGCACCGCCTTCAACGAACACGGTGCGGTAGTAGCTGGGGTCAGCCAGTGCGCGGGTAACTGCTTCTAGGTAGTTGTTGAGGCCAGACCGCTGCCGAAACACGTCGCTGTTTCTTGATGACAGCGAGGCGACGGCATCCTCAGCAAACTGTGAGGGGTCAACGAGGAGAAGCCGGCACTCGCTGTCGCTGTTCCCGCTCGCAATTCTGTGTGAGAGGGCTGGTGGAAGGTCGATTGTTTCCATGTCATCGCCAAGTCCAAGGAGGCACAGAGGCTCTTCGACAAGTGCTGATGACAGGGGTGTTGCCTGGAGGCGCGCTTCCGCATTTGTCGCTGCTGCTGCGGTGGTCGAAGAGGCGTGCACATGTACTAGACCAGGGAAGCGCAACTGGGTGCGCTCCCAAGAAACTGTCGAGCCACTTCGCGCCAGCGACTCAGCTGTGGCACCGACAATGTGAACAGCGCGGGCACCTCGCTCGAGCAAGCGCTCTGCCACGAGCACGGCGAGCTCTGTTCGGCTGGTGGCGGCCGTGATGGCAACGTGCTGGCGGTGTGCACCCTCCACGGCAGCGGCCGAGGATATGAGGTGCTGTGGGAGGCGGGCTTGGTCGTGCCGCCAAGGGAAGAACGTGCGGTCCGAGTCGTGGATGGGGTGGTCCACGTCCTCGCTGCTGCCGATGAAAGCAATGTCGGCGGCAGTAAAGCGGGGCGTGTTATTGTTACCGTCGCCTTCCACGGCGCCGATGAGGGCATGAACGTTCGTGCCGGAGATGCCAAAGGAGCTGACGCCCACGACACGGGGAGGCGCGCTGCACGTGGGTGTGATGAGATCCAAGTGAAGGCCGTTCACGGACGTGTTGCCGTTGGCATCACAGGTGATGTTCAGCAGCGGGTTGAGCTGCCTGAGGGCCGTGTTGAGTGCTGGCCGCTCCTGCATGTGCAGGGACAGGATACCACGGATGAGGCCTGCAATGCCCGCTGCGGCCTCCAGATGGCCAATCTTGGTCTTCAAGCAGCTGATCTCGAGGGCTCGCGTTCGGGCCTGCGTGGCAGCGGATGAAGCGAACACGTGCATGAGAGCATCAAACTCGATGGGATCGCCCAGCTTCGTGCCAGAGCCGTGGGCTTCAATGGCGTGCACATCGGCAGGAGACACACGCGCGCTGTCCAGGGCGGATAGAATGGCTCTGGCCTGCTGCTCGCCGTTTGGTGCTGTCTGCGACATGGAGCGGCCGTCCTGGTTCATGGCAGAGCCCAGCACGTGTGCAAACGCCCTGACGCGCTTCGGGCACGGAAATTGCGGTGCAAGGTGCTGTCGACACTGATGGTGACGGTTGTGGTCCTGGTCAACGGCGCCGCCACTCGCGTCAGTGTTGGCGTCGGTGGTGGTGTAGCGAGTTGCAGTGGGGCGTGGGGGAGCTTGCAGAATGACAACACCGCAACCCTCGCCGCGCACGTAGCCGTCGGCGTCCTGATCAAAGGTGTGGCAGCGGCCTGTTGGGCTGAGCATGCCCAGTTGCTGATATGCGCGCACCACATCGTTGCTGAGGATGCTGTTGACGCCTGCAACGATGGCAAAGTCGCACTCGTGCGCATCCATGCTCTGCACGGCGACGTGGAGCGCAGCGAGCGAGGAGGAGCTTGCAGTGTCAATCGTCAGTGCGGGCCCACGGAAATTGAAGTGGAAGGCAATCTGGCCACTGGCAATGGCGTGGGATTCACCCAGGATGGCTGCAGATGGCGGGGGCGGTGAATGGCGGCGCGCGTTCATCTTCACGGCATCCGCAGTGCTTATGCCGACGAAGACACCCACACGGCTGCACTCGAGCTGGGCCGGGAGCTCCGGGTTGGAGTGGATGGCCTCTGCCACCAGCTCAAGCAAGAGGCGCTGCTGCGGATCCATGTTTGCGATGGCTGCCGGCGAGAGGCCGAAGCGAGACGGGGACAGAAAGCCCATGTCCCCAATACAGGCGCCAAAAGGCGCATCACGCAACTGTTGTTGCTGATGCTGGTGGTGGTCTGCTTCGGCCGATGCGCGATCGCACGGCAGGGGGAAGCAGGCGTGCTGTGGCGAGGCGAGGAACGACCAAAACTCGTGGAGTGTGCGTGCACCGGGGAAACGGCAGCTCATGCCAACAACGGCTGTTCGCGGCGGGCTCTCCTCCTGCACGTGTTGCTGTTGTTGGTGTTGGCTGTCGTTGCGGGCTCGGGCTTGGGCTCCCGTCAGAGACGTTGGCGATGGTGGTGGGGTTGGAGCCGGGCTACTGGCAAGGTCTGCTGACGTTGCTAACGTTGCTGACGTTGGTGGTGAGGGCTTTTGCGCGTGTGGCGGGGAAGAGGCTGTTGGCGTGGCCGTTGATGAGGGCGAGGATGATGGCGATGTGCTCTGGTCTGAATCGGTTGCGGAGGGTGTTGCTGGCTTGCCAAAGCCCTGCTTGGCTGCAGACAGCTGCTGTGCGAGCCAGGTGGCAAGTGAACGAACGGTGGGATGGGCGTAGATGCGTGTGGGCGAGACTGCAATGTCGTATGCGGATGCAATGTGTTGCGCCAGGAGCACAACCTCCTCCGATTGCACGCCATAAGCGGTTAGCGGCGCTGTGTGATCCGTGACCTCAAACCCGGTGATGTGTGCCAGAAACCGCGCGATGTGGCCCTCCACCTGGGCTTGGTGGACTGCTGCCTCTGCGGTCTTGAGCGCGGTCAAGGAAGGGTCGCCCATGGAGCCGGCCAGCGAATAGAGCAAAGAAGCCACATGCTCATGCTGACGCGATGACGAAGACGAGATCATGTGTCTATCACTGCTGTTGTTGTTGCCGCCGCCGCTGCTGCTGCTGCTGCTGTCCGCCGTAGTGGTGGGTGGATGGGCCGAGCCGTTGTCAGTGGGGCGTTCGCAGGCATCGTCGTGGCTCTCCGTGAACATGAGAAGGGATCCGTGTGCGCCCAGGGCGTCTGTAAAGTCAACCTTCGTCTGTACTGCTTGGATGTCACTGAGGGCAGCGCGGTGGGTGACGCCATCAACAGCGTTGGCGAGGGCGTCCGTGTCGTTGCTGCAGAGCCGGGACGCGTGGACAACAAAGCAAGCAAGGGGAGTGTTGTTGGCAATGTCCTCAGCAAGGCAACGGAGTACACGCGCGCACTCGTTTGTGGAGGTGGAACGGGCGAGGATGACATGCACGCGCAAGGGTGGTGCAAGCGCATTCGTGGCGACGTGCTGCGTGCTGGTGCTGGCGTGGGCAGACTCGGGCTCAAGGACGGTCGCGAACAAAACGCCCTTCGCCGGCTGCAAGCACAATTGCGCAACGTACGAGAACGGGGTGGCAATGCACGTGCCAGGGTTGGTTGCAGTCTCCGTGAACGCGCACGTTGCTGGTGTCATCGTGTTCGGGTGCAAGGGGGCTGTGACGGCTGCGCGGTTGTCAGCGAGCGAGGGCGCTGCCAAGCTGTTGCTGTCGTTGGTGGTCGCGGTGGTCGTAGAAGTAGTGGCAGTGGGGTTGATGTTGGCGGCCGGATGGATGGTGTTTGTGGTGTTGGTCGAGATGGCGGCAGGAGCGGTGGGGCAGACGGCGGAGGCGTCAAAGCAGCGGTCAGCACAAAGAACGCTCCCAAACGTGCGACCAAGCAGATCCTTTACGTGGAAGAGGCGAGAACGAAGCGGCGCGAGCGACACCTGTGTCAAGGCGGGCGCACGCGACGATGGGGCGGCCGCGGTGGGTGAGGGGCAGAGGCTCCGTGAAGGACGGAGGGGAGACGTGGCGGTGGCGAGCGTTGGCAGTGTCGCGTCGGACGCGTGCACGGCAAGAATCGCGGACAGGAAGTTGGCGAGGACGGTCTTGCTCAACCAGGGCGCAGTGATCTGCACGTGCGCGGCAGCTTGAACGAACGCGGCGGCATCAGCAGTCGAGCCTGAGGAGCGCCGTACAGAGTCGGCGTGGTGATTGGCGTCCAAGTCGGTCTCGCTGTCGTGGCGGTGATGCTGTTGTTCGTGGTGTCCATTGGTGGAAAGTGCCTCACGCTCGGCAGCGATGAGGTGAGACAGGATGGCCATGCCTTCGTGGGACACGTGCAGTGCGAGAGAGGCGGTGGAGAAGAGAGGTGCTTGCATGCGAACGAAAACGGGGAGGGCGGCGCACGTGACGAGGGTGACGTCGCAGCCGGTGAGACACAACAGCGCCGCGTGCACTGCCTCGGTGGAATGGGTTGGAGCAACAACAACGTGTGTGGTCGCAGGGGTGTGCAGGGCGGTGGAAGTGGTATCATGGAGAGCGGCCAGCACATGGTCGCGCTCCAGGACAACCGGGCCAGCTGTGTTGCTGCTGTCGCTGGTATTGTCGTTGGTGGGGATGTCGGTGTTGGTGGGGTTCGGTTTGAAGGTGAGTGTGCCGCAGGTTGATGTTTGCCAGGTGCGTGGGTTGGTGAGGCAAACGATGTTGGGGTCTGCTGCGTCGAGTCGAGGACCACGCAGCACGACGTCCACTTGACCACGCAGCTCGTCCATACACGGCGCGACTGGATGTGCGCGCGTGTGTGTGCATGTGTGTGTGTGTGTGTGCATGTGTGTGTGCGGGTGTGTGCGTGTGCATGTGTGTGCATGAGAGTGTGTGAGTGTGTGTACGAGTTGGAAGGAAGGTAGGGACAGATAATAAGCAGGGTAGACGTGCGAGCGCGTGCATATGCATGAGAGAGGGTGTGGACGACAATCAACGAAGAAGGAGAGGGAGGCGAGGTTTCAACGCTGCAAACACACACACACACACACACACAAGCAATGTACTCGGTTCCCAACACCAGGTACGCGACTTACCGATGACACCGTTGTGCTTGGCGTAGAAGAGAGCGAGCATGGATGCAACGGGCTGGTCAAAGCCGCAGATGCCAAGTATGGGAGGTGCGGTTGTTGCAGAGGCATCGTTGCTCTGGCGATGCAGGACGTCCATGCATTGGTCAAGGTACCGGGAAACGGTTTCGATGTGCACCGTCTCGAGATGGGGCTCCGGGTCGGAGCGAATCCAGCAAAGCGACGGCATTGCAGGGTGTCGATGGCAGAGGCCAAGGGACAGACGAGAGCGTAGCGAGAAAGCCTGGAGGCCTGATGTGGAAGTCAGTCAAAGGAGCTTGAGAGGTGGTGGGGGTTGTGGTGAGAGGAGAGACAGCGGAGCAGAGGGGGATTGCTTGCTCTTTGTTGAAACCGTTACTTGGCCTGGTATCACAGTGCTTGGGCAGAACAATACCGGGTACTTCTCAGGATGGAGCTCTGGCTGAATCCGAGACTAAATGACGTGACACAGATCTCGCGTCTGATGTCGAGTGAGAAAAATGAGGCTTGGGTGGGGGGTGGGGGGCATGTACAAGCCGGGCCCAAGGGCGTCGACGTTCTCAGGTTGTGTGGACAGGGGCCCATTGTGCAGATTAGGTCTTGGGGCGGGGGTCATGGCAGGGGATGTGTCGTTGACGTGGAAGCGAGGGGCATTGTTCTCCTCAAGGAAATTTCGCTTGCTCTCCGCTTGTCTGCAACAGTGCACACGCGTCGCACGTGGAGTGCATTGCATGATGGGAGCAGAAGAGTCAAAGAGAGAAGAGACAAGGGCAGCGAGAAAAGAGGAGAGAAAGAGGAGAGAAAGAGAAGAGAGATACAGAAGAGAGAAAGCAAGTGAGCAAAGGCACGTCATTGCAGGCCCGCCTAGAAGACCACACACACCTCGGAACAGAAGGGGTATTGTTCACTGGTGTGTGGTGTGTGAAAATGTGACATGGTGGCATGCACGCTTGTTGCTTGCTTGCTTGCTTGCTTGCTTGTTGCTTGCTTGCTTGTTGTTGCTTGTTGTGGTCTTCCCGCCAAACCAAACATGCGCGTTGTAGAGGGTTAGTTGAAGTTTTCCATCAATCTTCCCCACTTGTCCTCCTTTCTTGCGAATCCCACCAAACGAATGATGCTGGGTGCTGGACGTTGGTTGTTGCGCAGTGCAGCTGCTCTCGGCTCGGCTCGCCAAGGAGCAGCAGCAGCAGCACGTGCGTTGAGCGCGGCTGCATCGCGCCGGACCTTGTTCGTGACCCCGCCGCAGCAAAGTGAGCAGCAACAGCAGCAGTGGGCAGGGGCGAAGATTGTTGATTCCAAGAACTGGAAGGCCAACGTTGATGCCAGCAAGTTCTTGTGCACTGCACCGGACGCGGTGCAGGAAGAGTTGTGCGCGTATGTGAAGCCGCTTGCTGCCGGCGCCTTGACCCACGACACCATGGATTCGCACAGCGTGGATCGCAATCAGCTCAAGCACACGGAGGCGTTCTTGCGCGACATTGAGGCGTCGCATCTCATCAACGGTCCTGCCGCCGCCATCCTCCAGCCCATTGCCAACCTCAACTCCATTCTGGAGGTATGCACAGCATGTTGTGGCGCGCCAGCGATCTTTGTCCCTGTCCACGTTGGTCGACTTAATCGTACAACTCGGAGAGCCTGATGCTCAATGTTCCCTGTCGTTTGCATTCGTGACTTTCTCGTGAAATTCAACACACACACACACAAACATACACTGCACACTCACTCACTCACACAACACACAAGCACGCACACACACACACACACACACACACACACACACCTTACACTCACTCACACAACACACAAGCACGCACACACACACATACTCACACACACACTCACTCACACATACATCACACTTGCACACGCACACACATCACACTCTCACACACACACACACACACCGCGCTGATTTTGTTAATGCAGATTCGACTGGCTGCGCTGACCATGTCGCAGCTGATGGGCGAGTGTCTGAAGCAGAACGCACAGGGCGAGCGCAGCATTCTGGTGTTTGATCGAGACGCCACGCGCCAGATGGTGGACGGGCAGCGGTACCACCAGTCGCACGAGGGCGGATCGCTGCACACCGACAACGTGAATATCCCGCAGTGCTGGGAGTTTATGCTCCTCACGTGCCTGCAACCAGCGGTGGAAGGCGGGCAGAGCATTCTGGTGAGCGCCAGCGCCGTGTACGAGCACTTTCTCAGGACGGACCCGCAGGTGCTGGAGACGCTCTGGCGCGACTTCTGGTGGGAGTACCGCGGGTTCAACGACGCCTTCTACCGCGCTCCAATCCTGTTCACCAACAAGATGGGTGAGCCCTGCTTTCGTTGGCTGCGCGAGTACATGGAGTCTGCGCACAAGCGACTCGGCGTCGCCTTCACATCAGCGCAGCAGCACGCGCTCGATGCCCTCACCGCCGTCACGCTCGATCCTGCCTTCCAGTTCCGCCACACGTTCAGGCAGGGCGAGATCCTGTTTGCAAACGACCTGCAGCTGTTCCATGGGCGCACAGCGTTTCTGGATGCCGCGCCTGCGCAGCCGACGTACGACTTTGAGCACCCGGTCAACCGGCTCATGCAACGCAACTGGGTGAAGACGGCGTCTGTGTACCGCGACATCAACCAGAGCGACTACACCATACCCACGCGCCACCAAGTCACCGCCATCATGCAGTCCAACTGATCTCTGTGTGCGTGCGTGTGCGTGCGTGTGCGTGCGTGTGCGTGCGTGTGCGTGCGTGTGCGTGCGTGTGCGTGCGTATGTGTGTGGTGATGTGATGTAATGTGATGTGCGTGCGTGTGTGTGTGTGTGTGTGTGTGTGTTTTGAGGGCTGCTCGACCTATCGTACTGTCGTTACAAAGAGCCAGACCGTGTGTTATTTCCGCAGCGCTTCCGTTCCTTCGGGGCCAGTTCAGTGCCCTTACCCTCAGCAACGTTGCTTCTCTGTTCACGGCACCCTTGGCTGTCACGCGCGGTGGATGGTCTTACATGTGCACGAACCTCTCTATGTCTCGTTACTCGTTTACTCGTGTGTGTGTGTGTGTGTGTGTGTGTGTGTGTGTGTGTGTTCCTGCAACAAGAGACAAGATGAGCATAATCGCCCTTTGCTCCCTGCTTGCGTGGTAGGTAGCAGTGCAAGAGGATCATGCCATGTCCGTTCAAGCACAAAGTTCATGTATTGCCGCATGTCAAACGAGACAAAACAAAATGGTTGTTGACGCTGCCGCAAAGGGTGTAACTAACTCTCTTGCCACACACACACACATACACATACACATACACACATACACACACACACACGCACGCGCACACACACACACACACACACACACACACACACACACACACACCAAAGCAAACAGTGCTGGTGGTGCTACGGGGAGGGAAATTTGCCGACTGCGCGCGCCTTCTTGATGAGACTGCGAATCCTGAACTGCTCTTTCGCCAGCTGCTTCACGTTCTGGTGAGCGGAAGTGGCACCATTGGCACAGCGGGGATGGGGAAAGGGTGAGCGTGTCGCTGGTGGGTTGCACAGTAAATGGCCCATCAAACACAACTGCAGCAACAACAACAGCAGCAGCAGCAGTTGCAACAGTAAAGACCTTGAGGTACGTCGAAAGGTCAATCTTTGCGTCATCAAAGGCGGTGCTGAGTTGATCGAGCACATCCGTAATCGCAGAATCGTCCGCCACAAGCTCAAGCAACCTGGCGAGCAGACGCAGACGTTGGCGAAGGTGAGATGAGGAGAGATGAGGGAGAGGGGAAGTTCGTGAATTCGTGATGCAAGAGTGGCTGCAGTAGTTGCTGTGGCAGTGGGGTTGCCTGTGGTAAAACAAGGGGCTTGGTCGTACACATACACACACCGACAAGGCAAAGGCAGACAGACAGACAGACAGGCAGGCAGACAGACAGACACACACGGTAAAGACAGACAGACAGACAGACACACACGGTAAAGACAGACAGACAGACAGACACACACACGGTAAAGACAGACAGACAGACAGACAGACAGACAGACAGACACAACCACACACACACACACACACACACACACACACACACACACACACACACACACACACACACACACACACACACACAGACAGACACACGAGGCAACGCACTGTCTCTCGAGCGGGGTCTCTGGCTGGACGGCCTCGTCCCAGTTAATCTCGACATCGCCATCAACGCCGCTCGCCGCCCGGTCAAGATCATCCTCCTTCTTCGTCAGCTCGTGCACCCGCTGCTTCGCCCGCATGATCTCCCCGCGCAGGCCTAACGAGAGCCGCGAACGGGGGGGGGGGGTGTTCGATACAGGGAGGAAGGGAGGGAGGGGGTACACGAGCATTTCTGTTAGCTCAGGAGGGACACACAACGGATACATACACGACACCATCGCGCACACAAGTACACACATCTCACCAGAGCATGCTTGCCTCAGACACACACACACACATACATCACACACACGCACACAGACAGACAGGCAGACAGACAGACAGACACACACACACACACAGCACTGACGGACTCACTGCTGATGTATCCCTCGAGCTGCTGCTGTCCGAGTTGGAGGGCGCTCTCGTCCTCCTGAAGATCCTGCAGCTGAATTTCCTTCGCCTGCCGCATGTCTTTCAGGCGCTGGATGATTTCGCCGCTCACAAACTCGCGCAGCGATCGCTCCTCAACTGCGGTGATTGAGGTGATGGAGGCGGTTGAGGGCAGATGCAACGTGGTTAGGGAGCGCAGGTATTGGTCTGTTTGCGTGAAGGGTGATGCCAGCAAACCAATACGATGACATGCCTCCTCTTCCCCTGCTTCACACACACACACGCACGCATGCACACACACACACACAAACAAACAAACAAACAAACAAACAAACAACAGGCGTTGCATGTGTTCACCTTCTCTGAGCTGGCGGTCCATGGCCTCATCGTCGTCCTTGTGCACCGACGACGTTGTCGAGTGCTCGAGCGACCCCGGTCCATATCCGTGCACAGACCCAGTCGAGGATCCCGTCAGTGGCTGCTGCTGCTGGTGGTGTTGTGGCGGCTGGGCGTATGGCCCCGCGTAGGGGTTGTATGTGGTGGACGGGGACGTTGACGGCGGCTGCGGCTGCGATGGCGTTGTGTACGCGTATGACGACGGTGGGGGCTGCGTGTACGACGATGTGCCCGTGCTGCTGGGGGCAGACGTCCACTGCACACGGCCGTGTTTATTTGTTTGTTTGTTTGTTTGTTTGTTTGTTTGTTTGTTTGTGTGTTTGTTTGTTTGTTTGTTTGTTTGTTTGTGTGTTTGTTTGTTTGTTTGTTTGTTTGTGTGTGTTTGTTTGTTTGTTTGTTTGTGTTTGTGTGTTCGTATGAGTAGTGATTGGAGCGGTCAGAGGCAAAGGGGCGCAATGACAAGAGCGTGCGCTGCAAAGTAATACCACACACACATATTTGCGTCACATCACTTACGGATGTGACTTGTCTGAGCGGAGGCTCTGCGCCAAACTTGCGGGAGAGGGCTTCAAGCAGCCCGTAAAGGTGTGAGCTCTGTAGTTGGCGATGGCGAGACAGCAGGGGTGGGCGAGATGAGCCAGGGTAAGCGCGCTCACACACGTGGGCGGACAGACGAGGGCAGAGGCAGGCGAGCACACACGCACAGACACACAGACACGTGCATACAATACAGACGCGCGTACGCATACACACGCATACACACGTATACACACGCACAAACACATACACGCACACGCACACACAGACATACACAGACAGACACGTAGGCACACAAAAGCACACACACACACACAGACAAACACACACACACACACAGACAAACACACACAATCACAGACACACAGACAGACGCACACTTACACAAGCAGGCTTACCCCAGCAGACCACTGGTCGATGTATGGGTCGTGAACAAGACCCGACACCTCGTATGATGGACTGGGTTGCACCTGCAATGCACGAAAACAGCCGAAAAGGGTTACAGGAACGCCACCACAAAACAGATCGCTTCTCTCGATGGTCGTCATGCGCCACCCAAAGTACGTAAAGACAAAAGACAACCCCAGTCATGTGTACACATGCCATGTCTTTCACGCGCCCTTCGAGGTGGCATGTGCGCATGTGCAGGTGCGTGTGCGTTGTTGTGCTGACCTTGAGGTCTGGTGTTGGAACAACAAACACGAGCGGCGCCTCTGCTGGGAATCCCCTTTGAATCCACGCTTTGATCGGGGTTGAGTACTCGTGGCCTGTTGCGCACATGTGTGTGTGTGTGTGTGTGTGTGTGTGTGTGTGTGTGTGTGTGTGTGTGTGTGTGTGTGTGTGTGTGTGTGTGTGTGTGTGTGTGTGTGTGTGGGTGTGGTTGTGTGTGTGTGTGTGTTTGGTCTGATTAGCAGCAACACAGAATGTGTGGCAGCTTTGGTGTAAAGAATTCAGCTGTTTACATGCCACCAACACACGCACACACACACACAAGCAATACAGGCGGTGCACACGAGTGTGGCGCCTTCTCACCTTGGTAGTACATGGGCAAGAGCCCATCCAGGTACACGAGGTACTCGTTTTGGCCTGTGGGATACACTATGACAGCCATCACACAAGCACGTTTGTCCCGTGAGCTGATATTGAAGCGTCGTTTCAACGACAACCCACCCCAGCCTCCATTCAACACACACACACACACACACACACACACACACACACACACACACACACACACACATACACACAAAGCACATACACACAAAGCACATGGTTTATTCAACTGACTGAATTGGCCGACTTTTGGCTGTATGAGTGGGTACTGCTGCACACACGGACGGAGTTGTTGTGCCACTGTGTCATGCTGGTCATACTGTGTGTAGTTTCAAACATGAGCATGCACACGAGTGTTAGTTGCATGGCGTATACGTGTTTCAGTGTGTGTTCATGTGTGCGCGTGCGTGTGTGAGAGAGCAAGTGCATGCAGAGATCAGTTCCATGACACGCACACACACACTGCTGCAGCAGAAACGCACCAGGTACAGGCTGGCCGTTGTCACCTCCTCCAAACTCAGAGGGGTCTCCAGCGCGCACGGCAGGAACTGTGCCATTGTGTGCCTGAGTATGTATGCTTGTATGTAAGTGTAGGTGTGTGTGTGTGCTTCCGTATGCCTGCGCTTGGATAGCTGTGTCCTCGCCACCTGCCTTCCTTCCTTCCTTCCTCTGTTCGCTTCTCTGTGCTTGCTTGCTTGTCGTTGGTTGTCGTCTCTTGCTCTGCTGTTGTTGTTGGTTCCTCTTCTTCTTCTTCTTCCTCTTCTTCGCATTCAATGATGAGTCATCAACACGAATTTCCACACACATTCGTTTTGGCGACGACACAAACAACAAACGTCAGGCAACAAGCAGGCAAGCAGGCAAGCAAGCAGGTCATGTGTGGTGGTGTGGTGTGTCACAACTTCATGTCACCATCTCCCGCTGGTGTTTGCGTGTCCTCCCTCGCGCCCTTAGGCCCTCAACCCTCTGTCTATCTGCACTTCTGTTTGTCTCCCAATCTCTCACGCCGCCCATTCATCCATCCGCCCATCTGTGCATTCACATCTTCACAGGCAGCTACAGACGTGAATTGCATTGAATTGAGTTGGTTGCTTGTCTCAGGCCACTCGCCACCATGGAAGACGTGAGGAAGCTGCTGGCCATGGGGTCAAACGCAGCGCAGCGCGCATGCATTGCAGACGAGCGTGGGGACAGGGCAGAGGCGGGCGCGCTGTACTCGCAAGCCGCAAGGTGCATGTTCCGCGCACTCGCGCTTGAGCCACACTTCAACAAGGCGCGCGAACTGCAGGACACGGCGCTGGCATATGCGCGGCGAGCGGAGAAGCTCGGCTATGGCCAGGCACCCAAGACGCTGCCGCTGGACCAGGCAGAGCAGAGCAGCGCACAGCAGGCACAGCAAGCATCGGCACAGGACGCAGCCGCAGAGGCAGCAGCACAGGCCGACGCCATCGCGCAGAAGGTGGAGCGAAGCGGGGACGCGCACCTCGCAAACGCGCGAGAATACCACGTCGAGGCCAAGTTCTTCCAGGCAGAGAAGGCGTACATTCAGGCGGCAGAGACATACCTCAAGGCTCGCAGCGCCACCAACAACGCAGAGCTCCGCAAGCGCATCGAGGAGAAGGCCGACAAGGCCCTGCGTGGCGCCGAGAAGCTGAAGCACAGGCACAGCGCCAGCGGAGAGCTCGGCCACGCTGCACCAGCATCCGCCGCAAAACCAAGACCCGCCACAGTAAGCCAGCCCAAGCCCAAGCCCAAGCCATCGCCTCCTCCCAGCATTGACATTGGCCCAAGCGGTACTTGCGACTGTTCCATGTGCACGTGTATGTGTGTGCATGTGTGCACTTTGTAACACGGCGCCTGTTGTTTTTTGGGTGTTTGGATACGTGTGCGTGTGTGTGTGCATGTGTGTGTACATGTGCGTGTGTGTGTGTATGTGTGTGCATGTGTGTGTACATGTGCGTGTGTGTGTGTATGTGTGTGCATGTGTGTGTACATGTGCGTGTGTGTGCGCGTGTGTGCGTGTGCGTGCGTGTTTGTGCGCATGCGCTGTGCATGCTTTCACAGGATCTGCCGCTCATCCTTACACGTTTTGTTGCGGTCATTCCGCACGTCACTCAGGCGAGGGCTTGACCGACTATGAAAAGGAGATCCTGAAACACACCTCAAACGTGAACGGCGTCATGTACTGGCCGTGGTCTGACGAGGATGCCACCCACAACATCACCAACGGGTTGGCCAAGTTCAAGGACCCACAGGGGCTGCTCAGGCTTGCACCCAAGCAGAAGGCGCTTGCCAAGTGGAAGCGCCCATCCTCGTTCTGTGAGGTGCGCGCACGTTGACATGTGTGGATGTGTGTGCATGTATGTGTGTGTGTGTGTGCGTGCTTTTGCATATGCGCATGTGCTATGTACATGTGCGTGTACGATGCCGCTGACACCCCCCCCCCCACACACACACACACAGAGTTTCACCATCAACTCACATCGACCATGCGCTCCGTGCTTTCCCCCACTCTGCGCGCCGGTTTGCCGTACGCCAGCGCCCTGTTGTCGTGCACAAGATCAAGAGTCGAAACATCAAGCAGACGGTGGTGTCGGATTGCTCGTTTGTCTCGTCGCTCGCCATCAGGTATACACAGACACACGTTGATGATGTGTTGATGCGCTCACACACAAACACACTCTGCTGCTGCTGTTGCTGCTACTGCTGTTGCATTTTCTGCATTCGTTCACACCCACCCACCCACCCACACACACACACACACGCTCACTCACGCACACACACACACACACACACACTCTCTCTCTCTCTCTTTCGCGTCCACAGCGCTGACTACGAGAACCGTCACGGCCAGCGGCTGATCACGAAAGGCATCTTTCCACAGGATGCAAGTGGCAACCCCGTCTACAATCAATACGGTACGCACCTGTGCATATGTGTGCGCTTGTGGCTGTGTTGCACGCACCTGCTTGGTAGTGCTGTTTTTCTTCACCCCAAACTTGTCTTGCCCTTAACAGGAACAGTTGTCTCATCATCACACGTGCGCATCTCTTGTTGTTGTGCTTGCAGGCAAGTATGTCGTCAAGCTTCACTTCAATGGGTGCTGGCGGCGTGTTGTCATCGACGATTTTCTGCCCGTATCGAGTGCAAGTGGCGAGCTGCTCTGCTCGTATTCTGCAGACAAGAACGAGCTCTGGGTCAGCATCCTCGAGAAGGCATACATGAAGGTGTGCGTGTGTGTGTGTGAGTGTGCGCGTGGTACGTGAATGTGCGCATGCGTGTATGTGCTCATGCGTGTATGTGTGGTGGTGCGTGTGTGCATGGTACGTGTTTGTGCATGCTTTGCACTCTTGTGATTTTATGACTGCTTGTGTTCGTGCCATAATGCGGAGTGACGTAGTTGTGCCCTCCTCCACTGGTGCTTCACCACATGCAACCTCCTCACTCACCACGCCCTCCCCCCCCTTAAATCCTTCCCCCAATGGACTGTGCAACACTTCATCGATGACAGGTGATGGGCGGGTACGACTTCCCCGGCTCCAATTCATCTGTTGATCTCCACGCACTCACGGGCTGGATCCCAGACCGCCTGCCCCTCAAGGTGCGCAGACCTCTGTGTGTGTTTGTGTGTGTGTCTGTGTGTGTCTGTGTGTGTCTGTGTGTGTCTGTGTGTGTGTGTGTGTCTGTCTGTGTGTGTGTCTGTCTGTGTGTGTGTGTGTGTCTGTGTGTGTGTGTGTGTGTGTGTGTCTGTGTGTGTGTGTGTCTGTGCGTGTGTGTCTGAGCGTTATTGCATACGCCTGTTAGTATTACTCATCAAGCACGTGCTCGGCCCTCCTTTTGCTTGTTCTGCTCGTTCTGATGAGCAGAAATGCAACGATGTGGAATGGAAGCGCTTATGGGAAGGCCTCCACTCTGGCCAAGTACTCATGACCATGGCAACGGTGAGTCACCAAGATAAATCGCACACACACGCACGCACACACGCACAAACACATGACAGCGTTGCATGTGCATGTGTACCCGCATTAAAGGACCATGGTCACAAGCCATGTCTTGCCGTCATGCATGTGTTGCCATTGTGCATTGCCGACTGCCAGGGAAACATGTCTGAGGCGGATGCAGAGCGGGCCGGTCTCGTTGCCTCGCATGCGTACGCCGTCCTGGATATGCGCGATGTAAGGGGCCAATTGTGTTTGGTTGTGTTTGTTCGTGTTGTTGTTCTTGGCTTTGGGCCTTGTTGTCGTTGCTACTGTGTCAAAGTGTTGTGCTTCACCCACCTTCTGTCTGTGTGTGTGTGTGTGTGTGTGTGTGTGTGTGTGTGTGTGTGTGTGCAGGCGCACACGCTTCATATCACATGCGCATCCCCTCCACATCACCGTCCGTATGAACCTCACACGGTTCCTTTATCTCCAAACGATACTGATCACACACACACACACACACACACACACACACACACACACACACACACACAACAACACACACACACACACACTATAGTGATGGTCAACATCTCGCCGGAGACGTTGTCCCGAAATCCTGCTTAACGCTAGCATTTGGGTTACTAGTCTGTACGCGTTTGTCTTATTGCCGACTTCCGGACCCGTGAGCAAACATGTGAAAGACGTTTGCATTCCGTGCAGCATCTCAGGAGAATGAGGGAGCTTGCGAGGGAGGCCTGTCGCGTCATTGCTAGGTAACCGTTGCCATCGGGAAATCCGATTAACGTGGCTCAGTGATCCCTTGTCCTAACCGAACTAACTACGTATCACACACACACACACACACACACACACACACACACACACACACACACACACAAACACACACACACACACACCAACTTATTAGGTGCGAGGCCTGCGTCTTGTAAAGCTGAAGAACCCCTGGCGCCACCTGCGCTGGAAGGGCCGCTTCTCCCCGCATGACACCAAATCCTGGACACCGGCTCTCCGCAAGGCCCTGCAGTACGACGTGGAGCACGCACAGGAGGTGTGTAGTTGTGTGTTTGTCTGGACTGTGTGTTTGTGCGTGTGTGTGTGCGCGCGTGCGTGGACGCTGTGTGCGTGTTTTGCATTGGTAAACGCACCTTTGTGTGTGTATGTGTGTGTGTGTGCGTGTCGCCAGCAAGCAGCTACGACGACGACGACGACGACGACGACAACAACAACAACAACAACAACAACAACAACAACAACAACAACAACAACAACAACAACAACAACAACAACAACAACAACAACAACAACAACAACAACAACAACAACAACAACAACAACAACAACAACAACAACAACAACAACAACAACAACCCTTCAGCAGCTGCCGAATGTTCTCCTCAATGTACCGCTCACGCGCTCACATGCCCTCCTTCGCACCCCATCAATATCACCCCCACGCCTCTCAAACCCTCAACTTACAACGCCCCTCCTTTCCTCCGCGGTTGTTCCCCCACCATCGTCAGAACGATGACGGCGAATTCTGGATGGACTGGCAGAGCGTTGCGCACTTTTTTGAGCTCATTTACATGAACTGGAACCCGCAGCGCTTCCCGTTTGTGTCGACCTTCCACCACTGCTGGAACCAACAGCATGGCCCGTCCAAGGATCTGTACAACATGCAGTACAACCCACAGGTGAGACAAACACGTACACACACGCACAAAAAACATCGAATATTCGTGGACAACGGAGGGGGCGATTGATCTGCTCTCGCTGACTTGCACACACACACGCACATACACATGCACGCGCGCGGGCGCACACACACATGTACCTACACACACATGCACATACACGCACACACACGCGCGCGCGCACACACACACACACGCACCTACACGCACACACACGCACCTACACGCACACGCACACACACTCATGCATACACACACACATGCATACACTGCTTCACTGCGTGTATTTTTGGCGTCAGTTCAAGTTGACTGTGAAGACGGCGCACGAGGCCGAGGTGTGGGTACTCCTCTCTCGCCACATCACCCAGATTGACGACTTTGCAGACAACAAGGTTCGCATGCCCGATACGCCACTGTATTGATGCGCTTTCGGTGCGCTTGTGGTTTTGACATTTGCTAGTCTTCCACCACCACCCTTGTTTTCACGCCGCCTGACTCCTCACTTCTTCTCAACACACACACATACACACACACACACACATTTTCACATGTTCACACACACGCATGCACACTCACACTCACACTCACACTCACTCTCACACTCACTCTCACACCCACTCTCACACTCACACACACGCACGCACGCACGCACACGCACACGCGCACAAACCTTGGTAGGAATTCATCACGCTTCACGTGTACAGGGGCATGGATCGCGTGTTTTATCCAGAGTCTGCGTACAAGCAGGGTATCAAGATCAACTCGCCCCACTACCTGACGAAATTGCGCGTTCCACCGGGCGAGCAGCATTATGCAATCGTCGTTTCGCAATACGAAAAGACCAGCACCATTCGCTTCAGCCTCAAGGTACGCGTGTGACGTTGTCGTGATTGATGGCTTGTTTGCGCTTTGTCTGTGTGTATCTGTGTGTGTCTGTGTGTGTGTCTGTGTGTATGCGTGTGGTTGTGCTTGATGGCTTGTTTGCGTTTTGCGTGTATGTACTCGTGTGTATTTGTGTGTGTGTGTGTGTGTGTGTGTGCGTGCGATTACCAGGTGCGGCAAGCATGCAAACACACGTCGCTGTTGGCTGCGCTCACGCTGTGCTTGTGCTGTTTAGGTTTACTCCACGGTGGACTTTGACCTGAAGCGAATGCCACACAGATATTCGAATGAAGTGAAAACGTCCGACAAGGTGTGTGTGTGTGTGTGCGCGTTCAAGCGGTTGAGCGTGTGTGCATGTACGTGTGCGTGTGTGCTTCTTACGCTCATGTCAACCACATATGCCAACCACTCACCGTTTGTTGTGATGTGTTCATCCTTTCACCTCCATTGTTCTCACAATCATCACCACAGTGGACACGTGAGACGGCTGGCGGGTGCCAGAATGACCCGCAGTCGTACGCGCGAAACCCCATGTTTGCGTTTACGGTGCGCTTCGATCATGCGTGAATCATTCATGCGATTGCCTCGGCCAGTACCCTAGTCTAGTGTGAGAGAGTCTAGTGTGTGAGAGTCACGTGGAAATCGCCGCAATCACGCGAATGCTTTGGACCACACCCATGCTGGTTGCCGATCTACCATCCTGGTTGCCGCCCATACCGCCTCACCGCCCCCTGTTGTCGCCTTGTTTCAGACGCCGGCCTCGACGCCCCCAAAGTCGGACACGACTCCGATCCTCATCAAGCTGGAAGCGCCGCGCGTGTATTCCGTTGCACTCGCGCTCTTTGATGCAGAGAAGAAGCCAATCACGTACGTACAAACACACGCGCACACAACAGCGCGCGCAGTCTCATGCTCTTGCGTCATCAGCGACCTGATTGTGTCGTGCAGAATCACACGTGCTGCTGCTGCTGCTCCTCCTCCTCCTCCTCCTCCTTTGATTGCTTTCTCTCCTCCTTAATTGCTTTCTCTGTCTCACATTAACACGCACACACACACACACACACACGCATACACACACACGCATACACACACACACACACGCATATACACACACACCACCACCACCACCACCACCACCATCACCACCACACATGCCATGTGCAGCGAGTCGGACGGGTATCGCCCCGGCTTCAGCAAGATGGAGATGGGGCTGCAGCCGTCCACAACATACCACGTTGTTCCTGCCACGTTCCGGCCTGGGCAGGAAGGCCCGTTCTTCCTCACCATTGGGGGAACTGAAAACATCCACCCGCGGCGCGTGCGGTGATGTGACAAGTGCTTTGGCAGTACTGCGACAAAAGACCCTGCCCGCAACACACCGCACCTCTTGACACGTTTGCTTGCTTGCTTGGCATGCCGCCTGGACTTTTCATGTCTATCTTGCTCGTTTGAGGCTTAAGCTTATTGTCTTCCTTTGTCCATTCGACGTTTGCCTGCCAGTGCTTTGACGCACCCTGTTTCTTCCATGAATGCAATTGGAACGAGCGCTGCTTTCTTGTGACTTTTGTGCTTACTTTGCTCGGGTTGGCTCGCTCGCTCGCTCGCTCGCTCATTCGCTTGCGCTTTCGTTGAGAGGAACTCTGACTGGCCCTTGCTCTTGTTGCTGTCGGTTACAGTTCCAATACATTGGCAGTTGAACAAGAATGGCACTACAACTAGAAGCAGGGGGATGCGTGGGAATATGTGCGCACGTACGTGCATGTGTGGGCATGTGCGTGTGTTGTGCGTGTGTTTGTGTGTTGAGATTCGCGTGCGCAAGTACACGGGTGTGGCGAGACAGCATGATAATCCAACTACGGAGAAGGCTTAACAACATCAAGCGCAACTGCGTGTGATGGAGAGGAGTCAACACACAGGGCTGCTTGTCATTGGGGATAACAGAGATGAGAAAACAGCAACACTGACGCCAAACCCCATCAGTGGGACACAACAGGGCACAACGCAACGACTACTTGAAGAAAGCGTGCAGTGTCTTCTGTGGTCCCTTCTTTGACTTTTTCTGTGGCGAGGTGGTTGTGGCTGCATTGCTCGCCCGCTTGCCACCATCGGTGTCAGGCTTCTCTGTGTTGCGCAGCGCTGTTGGTGGCGTGGCTGTGGTTGAGTCGTCGTCGTCATCATCGTCAAGCTTGATCACCGCATCCTTTGCATCAGCGTCATCGCCTCCCTTGGCCTCCGCTGCTGCCGTTGCTGGTGCTGCGGTTTTCGGTGCTGCTGCTGCTGGTGCTGCTGGTGCTGCCGTTGTGGCCTTGGCTGGCGCTGTTTCTGCTGTGGTTGCTGCTGGTGCTGTGGTTGCTGCTGGTGCGGCTGGCTTCTTGGCGGCGGCTTTGCTGAAGAAGCTCTGCAGCGAGCCCTTTCCTCCCTTGCGCACAACGGGCGTGCGCTTCCATTTCTTCACCGCCTTTGCGCCAGTCAGCTTCTCCACCATCTCCACCAGCGTCTCTGCGTTGCGCGGGCCGTGCGCCCCAATGTCGTTCATAAAGTACACAAACTGCGTCACGCCCGCCTTGCGCCGCGCAGCAAACCGCTCCGCCTGCCTCTGCAGGAACTCGTCGCTGTACACAGTTTCGCCCGGGGTGAGGGCCTTGTGGAAGCGCACGAACGTGAAGTTGGCCGTCTGCTTGTCGGTGTAGACGCACGAGTTGTCTGGGCTGATGTTCTCGACAATGGCGACGTTGTGTTGCTTGAGGAGCGCGTACACCTGGTCGTGCAGCCAGGTCTTGCTGCGAAACTCAAACGCAAAGCGCAGGTCCGTGGGCAGCTTGGGCAGGAACTCGGCAAGGCGGGCCTCGTTGCGGTGGAACGTCGGTGGCAGCTGGATGAGGATGGGCCCGAGGTGCGAGCCCAGGGCGCGCGCCCGATCGCAAAACTCCTCCACCAGCTCATCCACATTCTTCAGCCGCTCCTTGTGGGAGACAATCTGGTGCATCTATGCACGTGTATGCGCGCGTGTGTGTGAGGAGGAGGAGGGGGGGGGGTGTTGAAGGTGAGCACAGCGTGACGACTTGAACAACAGCACACTCAGTCTGATAATCGCATGCAGGTCAACAAGCGCGCAACACACACACACATGCACACATACACACATGCACACACACACACATACACACACATACACACACATACACACAAGCACACTTGTGATGCAGCTGACCTTGAGTGCAAAGACGAAGCTGTCCTGGACTTCCTTTGTCCACTTGCGAAACGTTTCCGTCGATTGCAAGCCATGGTATGTGGCGTTGATTTCGCACGACGGCAGCCTGCCTGTTGATATCCAAGGCGTACATGCGCATGTATGATGTGCATGTGTGCGTGCGAGAGAGAAAGAGAGAGACAGAGAGACAGAGAGACAGAGAGAGAGAGAGAGGTGAGCACACACAATCGCAACACAACATAGCCGTCACAGACACACACACACACATACACACGCACCTGAAAAGTGCTTGAGCTCGTCTGCCTGCTTGACCAAGCGGGGATAGAAGGCATCCTTGCGCCAGTGTGGATATGTGTAGCCCGACGTGCCCACATAGAAGTTGGCGAGGTCCTGCTTGCCACCACCAACACTGCCGCTGCTCATCTTGGTCGTTGTTCTGGCGGGATAAATGATGAATGCGGCTGCTTGAAACTCGTTTGAACCTGTTTTGGCAGCTCCCTGCCGCCACCAACGCACGCTCTCCCACCCACTCTGCCTGATTGCATTAGATCGCCTTGCTCTCACTCATGTCGCGGCTAGTGTGCTGGTGTACTGTTTCATGTCACTCGTGAAAGGCGGCGCCTGTGTTGCGTCAATTCTGCCACAACTGAACACACTGGCACACACACACATGCACACACACCAACACAACAACAACAACAACAACAACAACACATGCACACACTCAACACACACACACACACCTCACACAACACAACACACACACACACAACACACATTTCACACACACACACATGCACACATGCACAAGTACCGACGTTCGCCTTCTTTTCCATGCGTGTCAGTGCAAGTGTGATTACACATCACTAAAATCCCCAAAGCTCGAAACTCAAACAAAGCCAAATGCCTTGGTGGTAATGGCCTGAAGAAGCTTGCGACGGAAAATCTTCTTGCTGGAGTAGGCCGGAATGGAGAGTCGGGAGGAACACGTGTTGGCTGACGGCAGGAGCGAGTCGCTCGGGGGCCGCACCACCACCTGCGGATCAGACATAAGGCCCATCGACGTCGCAGGCAGCGTGGCAAAGGACGTCCAGAAGTACAGCAGGTCGTGCCGCTGCTCAGAGGTCATGCCCTCCACAATCTGCCAAAACCACTTTTGCATGGTCGCAAAGCGCTTGGCATCGCCCGTCTCGTTGCGGAACTTGGTGCGCGTCTTCAGCAGGGAAATGTCCACTTCGCTGCAGCCGTTGAGCAGCAGCACGGCATCCTCCGCGCTCATCTGGTCCAGCACGCCCGGCGGGATCACGCTCAGCAAGCCGGATCGCATCGCTTGCAACTCCTTCTCCACACAGCCAACAAGCACAAAGCGCGCATACAGCTCCACATACTCAAGCACATTCTCCGCGGTCACATCAATGTCCGCGCCGCCCGGCTTGAGCTCAACCGTGCGCGGCTGCGGCTGCGGCGGTGGCGGCGTCTGCTCCACCGTTGTTCTCTGCTTTGCTTCTTCATTGACGCCTTTGCTGCCGTCGGTGCTGCGAGCTCCATCGCCGCTGCTTGTGGCTCCTGCATCGCTGCCCTTGGTTGTGCCTGCTCCTGCCGCTGCCGCTGGCGCCGGGCCGGGTAGCGCCGCCTCAAACGTGAGGCTGAGCGACGCAATCGCGGCAAGGTCTGTCTCGCGCATGAGCAGCAGCTGCCGCAGCGAATCGTACAGCGCCGTGTCGTGGAAGGCCAGGTCGTGCCAGCGCACGTCCTGGCCCAGCAGAAACTTGATCACCGGCCGCGTAAATTTGAGCGGGAACAGGTCCTCGTGCAGCAGGCACAGCCCCGCCAGCCGCCCCACCGTCTGCAGCAGCGCCAGCCGGTACGTGTTGGACTTGGCCGGGTGCCGCATTGGGCACGGCGCAACAACGCCCGGCTTGGACGGCTCCCAGAACAGACGCGACAGGTCAAACCCGTCTGCCCCGGCACCGGCGGAGCGCGGCGTCACCAGGCCAACCGTCTGCAGCAGGCTCGGCAGCGTGGTGCGCCGCACCTGCGCCAGCAGCCCGCCACGGCTGCTGCAGCGCTCAACCACGCCGCGCGCCATGTCCGCAATGTACGCGTTGTCTGTGTGGTCTGCCAGGCCCGCGCAGCGAATGGCAACGGCCAACAGGGCCTCTGCGCCAGCCTTGGCTGCCGCCCCACCGCTGCTCTCGCGCTCCAACGTCTCCAGGTCGTGGATGAGGCGCCGGCGAATCGCCTCCATCTCCGTGGGCGTGACCGCAGACAGCGACTGCACAAACGCAGCATCGGCAAGCATGCGCGCCACCGTGCTGTTGGGCCGTGGCAGGTCCGCCGCACGCGTCAGCTCCATGCACAGGTACGTGTAGAAGGACCGGGTCACGCCAACGCCTTCGCCCAGCTCGCCCTCAAACGCAATGTCGGGCTGGTCCGGCATGGCAAAGGGCGGTGCCTCCAGGCTGCTGCGTGGCGCAGTCAACGCCTCGGACGGAATCGTGTCCAGCCGGCGCGTTCCGCCAGCACCAACCCACGGCGTGGTCGCGGTCGCCGCACGCGTTGAGGCGGAGGGCGGTTCGTGCTGGCCCCGAACGCGCGGATCGTTGGCCCACCGAGACAGCCGTCGCTCCAGCCTGGACAGCATCGCCTCCGTCGCCGCCGTCCGATGACTGCTGCTGTTCGTGCGGTCTCCTGTCCCTGCTGCTGCTGCTGCTGCTGCTGCTGCTGGACCTGCTGCATTGCTGGCGCTCTGAGCGTCGGTGCTACTGGAGCGGTTGCCACTGTCTCCGCTGGCACCGCCATGGTTGGCGTTGCGCCTGCGCCGTCGCTCCTCTGCGTTGGCCTGAATGCGCCGTGCACGCAGGGCCATCGCCGATGCCGACGCTGCGCTCGGCGGGCGGCGCGATACGGCGACTTGTGGCGGCGGTGGCGGCGGTGGTGGCGGCACCGCGGGCGGCAGGATTGAGGGAATGGAGCTGGAGGAGTATGACGGTGTCTCGTAGTACATGGGCTGGCCCGTGTCACCAAAGTCATAATCGCCCGGTGCGTCCATGTTGTCGTAGAGGCTTCCCAGCAGCTGGTCAACAACGTCCTGCCGCACAGACGAGCGCGTGGCCGAGGTGGCGCTCGAGTCGTGGGCGTCGTCGCCAGCGATGCCCAGCCGCGCAAGCAGGTCCGCTCCGGCCGAACGCCTTGGCCGATAAGTGCCGATGGGCGGTTGCATGGGTGCGTAGGTGGTGCGCAGATGTTGCCGGCCTGTGCTGTCGCCGCCGTCGCCGCCGCCAACGTCGGCAGCAGCGGCAGCGGCCGCGTTGGCACGCTGAGCCAGCCTGAGGACAGTGGTGAGGGTGGTGAGGATGGCGTTATCGCGTTCCCGCTTGACGAAGAAGCGCAGGCCCGCACCACGCGCTTTGCCACGCAGCGACCGCAGCATCCTGCGAAGCACCTGCTCACGGTACGTGAAGCCAAGGAAGCCAAGTAGGAAGCTGTGCCGCTCCTGGCCCACCGTCTGCCCAAACAGGCGACTCAGGATGTTGACCGACAGCTTCCATCGCTCGCCAACAGCACTCACAGCAAATTCGTGCAGGGGCACGTCCATGGCGTAGCCTGGGCGAGACACGCGGTCGACAGGCGACGACGCATCCAGCAACGACGCAAAGTCGCCGCTGCACGTGGTGTCTGACGAGACCTTTGCACGCTTGGTGGGATGGGTGTCTTCCGCGCTGCTGTCGCCGTTGTGCTGCGCTGAGGACGCGCCCGCCAGTGGCAAAACAGCGAGCTGGTGGCGCGTGCGACGACCCATGCTCAGGGCGCGCGGGGTAGCGCGGGATGCCTCATGCCTGGCACCGGCCCGGCCGCGGCCAAACAGGGAGGTGCGGGTGGCCTGGGGGTGCAACCGCTCGGGCCGCTCAGCAAGCGGCAGCGACTGCGCGCCCGGCTTGGACAGGTCGGGCTCCTGAACGCCGCCATCGGCGGAGATGGAGGGCGAGCGCAGGAAGAACGTGGGCAGCGCGTCTTTCCTTGAGGGGGTGGTGAGTCCTAGGTCGAGCAGCAGCTGCTGGCGCGCGCGAAGGTAGTACACGATGGCGTCGAGGGCAAACGTCAGGTGCGGGAACTGTGACACGTCCAAGGAAGGCATGGTGTGCGCATGCTCTCCGCTGTGGCCACGAAGCAGCGACAGCACCTGGCGCTCGAGGTCGCGCCGGCTCGCGTGCGCAAACAAGTCGGCAGCAGCAGGGGCGCCCCCGCGCCGGCCGCCGTGGTGCCGGTCCTGCTCCTGCTGCAGCTGCTGGAGCAAGGCGGTGTGCAGCACGCCGCGGATGTACTGTTCGCGCTGCTGCCAGCCCGACTGCAGCATCCCCGACACCAGCTGTGCTTCGAGCGCATCCATCCCCGTGCGCACCCACGTCCATGCCCGCTCCATCTGCGTCTCCACGGCCTCAAACGCAGCACGCAGCAGCGCACGCTGCATGCTCCTGCGCTGCTCCCGCTTTTGCTCGAGCTCAGCCGCCGCAGCCTTGTTGTGCGTTTTGGATGCCGCTGCTGCGTCGCCGTGGCCGCTGGCTTCAGCGGTGCTGACGCTGGCAGCAGGTGTCTCTTTCTTTGCACGTTTTGCTTCCGGTTCATCCTCGCCAGCTGCAGCTGCGGCGGCCATTGTGGCCGTTGTGGCCGTTGTGGCAGTCTCGTGCTCTTGCTCTGCTGCTTGCTCGAGCGGTGTGATGCGGGCAACGTCGTTGTCGGAGGGCGGCGGCACCGCGCCGAGAACAAGCAGTCGGCAGCCAACGCCAGCAACGTCCACCATTTCCTTGACCATGCGGTTGAAGAGGCGCGCCATTGCCTGTGCAGTGAAGGACTTGGACGGCTCGACAAGCGTCAGCGAGCTGGGCATCTTGCTGTCGTCAATTGCCACACCGGACGTCGACAGCCGCCGAAGCGAGGGTATGCCGCCACGTGTGCGCGACACCCACTCCCACCCGCGGCGCGGCTTTGCCTCAAGCACGTTCATCACAGCTCTGGGCGTGGTATCTTCACTCACTGCAGAGACGCCCGCACGTGCCCGTGCCATGGCAGCGACGGTGCGGCGGTGGCGCCCGAGGCCGCGCTCGGCGTGACCGCCATGGCCACCATGACCACCCACCTCCACAACGCCGTCGTCAACACCGTGGCCACTGCCGGCTTCACCGCTGTCCCACCACATTGCGTTTCTGCGGTGGCGGCGGTTGCGGCGCCCACGGCGGCGGGGCGATTCGGTTGCCAGCGGCAGACCAGAGAGGCTTGGACACACATCACTATGCGTCAGTAGACTACCTCTAGTCGGGTTCTGTAAGCCCCCTCTGCAACCTCTGGCAAAACTGCTTTCAAGCTTAGCAGGCCTATCGTCGTGGGTCCTGCTAGTATCCTTTCAGCTTTGAGGGAAGCCCAGAAATATACTTAATGCGCCCCTTATTGAATAGTCGTCGTTCTTCGGGCTTGCGCCCATGAGGGCTAACGAATTTACCTGCGAGCCTGCGACATTCGAGTGGTGCTGGACCCACTCTGTAAAGATCGCCACAGAGTTACAGGCGACTTTGTAGCACTGTAGAAAAGTATCACTCTTGGGGAGGTTGAGCTTTTTAAGTACAAGACCTATGGTAAGTGTGTGCTGATGGGGTTGCTTGGTCACCACTAAGGTCTGTTCCGATCTCTGACAATCCACTTCTGTGTGCGGGTAGGCCTATTGATCCCCGAAATGTCCGGTACGATACCTGATAAGCCTGATGAGCTAGCGGCTACTCTAACATCCGGGCAGCGGTTGTGTCGCGATGCTCGTTCAGCTGCTTGCACCAGGCCCTCGGCGGCGGCCCCTGCTGCCGTGGCGCGGCTCGAGGCGGTACGGGACCGGCCGCCTCTGCCTGTGGACTGTGGCATCCACATTGACACGTCCCGCCCGTTGTTGTCGTGCAGCAGTGTTTCATTGTCGGCATCGCCGTTCTCGCTGCCTTCACTTTCGCTGGATGACCCTGAATCCTGACCATGTCCAACAGAAACAGCGCCGAACGCTGCCTCGGCCACATCGTCCACGGCATCCTCGTCCTCGTCCTCCCCACCATCGCCGTTGGCGGAGTGGCCCCCTTGCCCATGATGATTGCGGCCGGTGTCGTCGCCATCCCCGTCGTCATCGTCCTCATTCTCGTCGTCGTCATCTTCATCATTGTCGTCGTGATCACGATCATCATCATCATCATCGACATCGTTGTCGTTGTCATCATTCTCGTTGTCAGCCTCATCACCGCCGCCATTGGCATCGGTGTCGTCTGCAGCGGCATCCATGGCACTTGACGTGTCCTCGGCGTCCTCCCCCGTTGCGCCGGCCATCGTTTCACCACTGGCGACGGCGTCAGTGGCATCAGCATCAGCACCGGCATCCATGGCATTTGATGCTGCTTGCGGTGTCACACGCTGCTGCTGCTGCTGTGGCCGCTTTTTCCGCTGTCTTCGCTTCTGCTGCACCGGTTTGGTGGTTTCGTACGGTCGCAGTGTGCCGTGCTTCTTGCGGGCCATCGGCGGTGGGTGAAATGGGTTGAGCGTCTCTGCAAACAAGCCCTTGATTGGGTCTGCAAGCGCGAGCGGAGGCGGCCTGGAAAACGGTGAAAGCGGCGACAAGAGGCCCACGCGCACCGGCGCTAGCACGGCGTCCGCAGCCTCAGCGAGCTCCCGCATGGAAAACGCAGGGAAGCGGTGGAACACACGCCGACAGGTATGCAGTAGCGGGTGGTGTGGGTCAAAGTCCTGCACGGTGGCAGCGTTGCTGCCATCGCCACCGTCCCTGCCGTGACGGCTGCGCCTGCGTGTGGAGGCGTATCCATAGGGGTTGTTTGCTGACGTGTCGTCGGCCTCGTCATCTGCAAGCAGCGATTTGGGGTCCCCTGAGCTGGCGTACACGCTGGCCACGCGCACAGTCGAGCGAACGAGCCGGCCAATGCAAGCGGCAACGGCACGGCCTGCTGGGGACGCGCCGAGGGACACGTGGCGCTCCTCGAGCGTGTCCAGCACCTGCAGCAGCAGCGGCAGGTACGACACCAGCATGGTGTGGACAAACGCATCCAACAACAGCGTGTTGTCACCAGCATGGCTTGGGGACGCGCTTTCCTCACTGTCGCTGTCACTGACATCGCTGTGCGTTGGCCTGAAGGCATCCTTCCCATGGCCCGGCTTGGCCTGTCCAACCAGGAAGGTTTCGCGAACGCTTGGCCAGTGCTGTGCCAGCAGAAGCATGACATCATCCAGGAAGTTCCTGTTGTCTTCTTCGTTATCACCGTTCCCGCTACTGCTGTTACCGGTGCCGCTGGCACCGGCAGAGTGGGCAGCGCCGCGGGAAGAGCGCGCACCACCACGCCGCCGAACGGCTGCCCGTGTGGCGTGGCGAGAATGAGCACCGCGGTCGCGTCGCTCGCCACCCGTGCTCTCGCTCGTGCCATCCGCTGGCCTCAGGAAATCTTGGTTGCCTGCAAGCACGTTGATGTTGTACTGCCGGGCTTGTTGTTGCTGCTGCTGCTGCTGCCTCCGCTGGCGCTGATTGTAATGTGCTGCCCCAAAGCTGCGGTTTCGTCCACCACCGTAGTACATGTCATAGTCCCGCAGCCGGCTTTGTCGGCCATAGGGGTTTCGCCTCTGCGCATTGCGTGCAGCGCGGGCAGCAGGGGTGTCACCATCACCGCCACTGCTGTCGGCACTGCCGTGGCTGCTGCTGCCGTCGGGCTTGATGCCGGTGTTGGCAATCTTGATGAGCTCCTCGTCTGTGCGAAGCGTCTGGTGCCGCTCAGCCAAGGCCAGAACAAGCGTCAGCAGCGCAGTCTCGCCAGATCCATTGACCATTGCGCCCGCCTCGGTCTTGCTCAGTAGAGCCGCGGTCAGCGCCAACCGCGCTTGCACGTCCTTTGGGTTCAAGCGGGGCGCGTATTTTCCGGCGATGGGCACGTCACTGGCAGAATCGTCGCCAGCATCGTCCTTCTGCGACGCAGACGCAGAGGCAGGCGCCCCAGTACCGCGGCCGGGTGGCGGGGCGTCAGGAAAAGGGTGCACCCGCTGCGCCACGCCATCCTGGATCACCCACGAGGCCATGGTGTCCGCTGCGGCTCCACCGTGCTGCCGCAGGCGGTGGCTGTCTTGCCCGTCTGGCCCACCAAGCAGCGCCTGTTCGTACATGTCTTCGTAGCTCAACACGGCGTCAGTACCATGGAGCCCGCCGCGGCTGTGGGCAGCAACCTGCTTTGCCGAGGTGGCGGGTGACGATGACGTTGCAGAGGCAGCCTTGGTGGTTGGGGCGTCCCAGACCACGGGGGCCCAGATGTGGTGGATGGGCGGGGCATCGTGGATGGGGTCACGGTAGCACACCATCGCCCGCATCGCCTTCTCAGCAGCTACAGTGGCAGGGGAGGGCGGCAGCGAAACACAGTGTTAGGGGTGTACCGGGGGGGGGGGGAGGGGACGGACGTGGCGGGTGGACACGAGTGAATACGGGCCAATCCCACAAACGACACCGAGACGCATGCAGCACAACACAAAAACACATACAACACACACATGCACACATGCAAGCACACACACACACATGCAAGCACACACACGCACACACATGCAAGCACACACGTACGCACGCACGCACGCACGCACGCACACACGCACACACACACACACACACACACACACACACACACACACACACACACACACACACACACACACACACACGCACAACGCGCATGCGAAGCGCTGGGCGTACATGGCTTGGTCGCTGCAACTTGAAGGGCCAGGTCCAGAATCTCGCCTGCAACATCAAAGAGGCCCTGTTGCACGGCCGCCAGGAACGGCGTTCGCCCAAGCATGTCCTTGTGCGCCAGTGCGTCGTACAGCAGAGGGGAGGCCCGCAAATGGTGCAGGCACACACGCACCGGCGCGACAGGCGCCTTCAAGTCAATGCCGGCAATGGTGGATGCTGAAGCATGCCCCGCAGCCACACCTGCGGCGGCTTGGTCTCCATTCTTCTCCTTGTCCTCTCGCTCCATCTTCCCTGCCGTCTGTTCGTCTTGCTCCCCTTCCTGCTTCTGCTGCGCTGACCGCCGGTGCACATGCCTGAGTTCGAGCAGCGCCTCCTGCGCCATGCTGTGCAGGTCCGCCTCAGGAGTGCTGTCGCTGCTGGCGTTCTTCGCAGCAACTGCCTCCCCCGCACAGTCAATGGCCAGGTGGAGGATGGTGCGGTACGCGTCGCACCGCTGCAGCACTGCGGCAGCCGTGTCCGCGGTCAGCACATCATGCAGCGTGCGCACGTTTTGCTGAACAACAGCAGAGATGGCAGCACTCTGCTGCACAATGAAGAGAACGCCCACGGGCGGGACAGCAGCAGCACCACCACCACTGCTGCTGCCAGTGACGGCCTGTGAGCGAGCGTGCGCTGCTCCCTGGCTGCCATCTCCGCGCGCTGTGGCCAGGTCCATTGTCGTGGCAAAGTAGACGGTGCCCATGTTAATGGGCCGAGCAAGCGTGACGCACGACCGCTGGATCTCGAGCGGGATCAGCGTGCCCGAGTTTTCTCGCACCAGCACGACGTTGTGGCAGCGGCCGGCAAGCAGCGCAGGGCGGTCTCGCAGGACAGGGGCGTGGCCGTTGATGAACCCTCCGTACAACGGGGTGGCACCGTGTCGGAGATCCTTCAGGCGCTTCACGCGCGACAGGTCGAGCGCATACAGGTAAGACTCCACGCTGCTTGAAGCGTCACGACTGGCCGCAGCATCACCGCCACCAAAGGCGCTCTCCTCGGCATCGTCGTCAGTGGTGTCACCAGCTGCGACGTCACCGTCGTCATGGGTGAGTCTATGCTGAGAGAACATGAACACGCGCATGTCTGACACGGCGAGGCTGAGAACGGGCGCTGGCGTGCGCATTTCCTGCGGTGACTCGGCAATGTCCAGCGATACAATCGGCGAATACCCCGGCTTGGCTTTCTCCTCTGCAACGTGCAATGGCCAATGTGCAAGTGTGCATGTGTGCAGGCGGTGAGAGCAAGCTCCAAAAAGAGGGAAAAAGGGGGGGGGGCGGGGTTCATTATGTGCACGAACCACGACGTGCACGATGTCATGAAACGAGATATCAGCAGAACCAAAGATGAAGCAGCTAACTTCAAGGTTGCAACTGCAAATGTGGCCACACACGCACAGTGGATTTGAACGCACCTTTGACGATGACAAGTTCGCTGACATTGTGGAGCCGAAGGTTTTCCAAATCCTTCTCCGATTTTGGCTTCAACAACAGACACCGCAGGTAAATTCGAAAAGGAAGTTTGAGAACAGCGAATCAATGTACGAAGATGAGAAGGCAAGACTGATGCTGTCGCAGGTGTCGCAGGTGTCGCAGGTGGCAGAAATGACACAATCCATTCATTCATGTACGTGTGTGCGCGCATGTGTGCAGACGACTAACCATGGCAGCTGGCGCTTCCAGGGCGGATTCGGGGAAGAGCACGGCGCACTGCCCGCCGTCGACCTTGACGACGCGTCCAACAGGGTGACCAGGTCCAAGGTCTGTGATGACCATGTCAGACACCGCCCAATTGGCGCTGCCGCCGTCCTCAAGCTCCACCCGCACCTTGTTGTCCCAATCCCACGCCGTCTCTGCCAGGCGCCCAGCCTGCGCCCGCCCGTTACGCTGCAGAGGAGTGTGTGTGTGTGTGCATGTGTGTGTGTGCATGTGTGGAAGTGAGAGTGGAAGGTGAACATGGTACTGGAGTGCGTACATGTGTGCATGGGCGTGCGAACGCTGTGGTCTGCGAGTTCTCTCTCGTCCACACACTGAACAAAAACGTCTCCCTACTTCAGCACACACGCACGCACGCATGCGTATGACGTACAATGACAAAGCCCTTTGCGCCTGCGCGGTACAAGGGAACGTTGCGCAGGATGACGCGCACGCCCGGCTTGATGGCCATGTCCGGGTCGTTGCTGGCAGACACGCCCTTTTCGTTTCGCGTGGCACTGCGCTGCTTACGTGCGGCCTGCACGCGGCGGTGGCGAATGCTCGTTGGGTACAGCCCCCACCAGTACACGCGGCCGTCGGCGGTGGCCGCCCACGTCATGTTCGCGTTCACGTCCAGCACGGCAACCTGGCGGCGCTGCAGCGACGGAAACGCCCTGGCCGCGTGCTCAAGCGACGTGAGCTGCGTTGTTGGGTCTGCAAGGCACAAGACCGCCGAGTCGTAGAGCGTGGCCACCTTGCCCGCCCGCGTGAGCACGGAGGCGCGTGCGCCACTAGAGCACATGAGCTCAATGCACTCCTTTGCAAGGCCAAGCACGTTGCGGCGCGGGTGGGGACCGCAGCCAGCGGGCGGGTCGCACCACTTCCACACGTGCAGTTGGCCGTTGTTGTCGACGGCAAGCAACTCCGACGGCAGCGCTGCCAGGCTCTTGAACCCAGGGTGGTCGTCTTCCATGCGCCACCACGCCACCTGGCGCTCCTTCGCATCAGCGCCAGCGCCCGTGCCGCCTGGCTTTGTTGCTGTTGTTGTTGTTGTTGTTGCTGTTGTTGAAGTAGCAGCGCTGTTGGTGCCCGACTGTTGTTGCTGTTGTTGTTGTTGCTGCTGCTGTTGTTGTTGCTGCGGCTGATGAGTTTCACCAGCGGCGCCATTGGCTGCCGCAGTTGAAGTGGTTGAAGTGTCGCCCTGCTGCTGCTGCTGCTGCTGCTGCTGCTGCTGCTGCTGCTGCTGCTGTTGTTGTTGTTGTTGTTGTTGTTGTTGTTGTTGTTGTTGTTGTTGTTGTTGTTGTTGTTGTTGTTGTTGTTGTTGTTGTTGCTGTTGCTGTTGCGATGGAGTTTGGGTCTGGGTACTGCCGCCTTGAGCAGGCGCGTCACCGCTGTCCTGTGCGCCTCCGGGTTGCTGATCAGCGCCGTCCCCAGCGCCATTTTCGTTGTTGTCGTTGTCATTGCCGTTGTCGTTGTCATTGTCGTTGTCGTTGTTATCATCATAGGGGCCGTATCTCTCCTCGACGACGAGCTCCTGTGCAACGTGGGTAACAGCGACGGTCGACGACACGTGAGACGAGCGAGGTGGTGGCAGTGGTTGTGATGATGAGGAAGAAGAACAATGGCAGAGACCAACACGACGAGCGCGACCACACACACACACACACACATACATACACACACACGCCAGCACGCGCATTCTCAAGAAGCACGTACGCCATCGCTGTTGTATCGAATGACGACCGAGGTTGGGGTGTCGCCGTCGCCGTCGCCATGACCGTGGCTGGCATTGGCCTCGCGGTCGCGTTCTTCGCGCAGAATGCTCTCCGCAAACTCGTGCTCCTCGGCATCTTCCTCCTCCTCGTCCTCATCATCCCCACCCATCAGCACGTTGACTGCCGCCTCTGGATCGAGGCCTGTCCGCTGCAACTGAGGTGTGTGTATGTGCGTGTGCGCGCGCGCGCGTGTGTGTGTGTGTGTGTGTGTAAGAACCAGCATATCATCATCATCGTCATCACGACAAGTGTGTGTGCGTGTGCGTGTGTGTGTGTGTGCGTGTAAGAACCAGCATATCATCATCATCGTCATCACCACAAGTGTGTGTGTGCGTGTGTGTGTGCGTGTGCGTGTGCGTGTGCGTGTGTGTGTGCGTGTAAGAACCAGCATATCATCATCATCATCGTCATCATCATCATCATCATCATGATCATCATCATCATCACCACCACCACCACCACCACCATCATACATCATCGATCATCAACATCGTCATTCTAATCGTTATAATCGATCATCATCTTCTTCTCCACACAGCTCGAGTGAGAATAGTTAGTGTGTCTTGGTTGGGGGGGGGA